ACTACTGCTTTTAATTTTGTCGCTGTCAAGTTTTATTTTTTTGTTGTAAATTTACATTTATAATTTTTATTTAATCAAAACAAAGTATTGTATAAATCAGACACACCGGACGATAGCAGCATATTAAATTTATAGTAATTATTCTATTAGAAAGTGTTAATTGAGAAATGAATGAAAAATACAATATTTTATCGAAACAGTAATAACCCGATCAAATAACGTGCCATTATTCTATTTAAAGTTTGAACAATTCGGACATTAGACGGTGTTCACGGTGTTTAAACGGTCTTGTTGATTGTGTGCTCGAACAAAATTCTCATCCTACACAAGAAAGGGACTTCCTTTCTGTTTGCATTGTTATCATTTGTGGGTTTTTTATTTTGTAAACCATTTTTTTCGGTTAGGTCCTATCCGTCGCGTTAAAACAAACCCGGCACATACATACAAACACATTAATGTTAATTTTAGGATCGTTGTACATACATGTTAGTGGCGTTCGAAAAATACAATATGACTGATAGATACAATAAAATGGCCAAGTACGTGACCAACGATTGCACCGAAAGAAAATCATTTTTCGGTCTTAAACGACACTTTTTTGAAAAAAATTGTATTGCCACTTTTGACGCCCTCGTTGACTCGAATAACCTAATTGGTTTCGTTCGCCCACGGTTGTGACAGGCAATACTGAGCCAATTCAAAAAAGAGAATAATTTTTTCACTTAACAAGCATCTCTTTCCGCTTGAAAACAAATATTGTTATGTATACGATATAAAAAAATATATACACATTTTATTTTTCACTTCACATATTATATTCACCGATATTTGTTACACCATTTTTACATTTGAACGTTCTTGTTGGCCAATCGTCGAGTTGATAGTAAACATGTAACAATAAATAAATACTAATTTAACTAAATAATTAAATCTGGTTTCCACTGTTAATTGATAATTCAGTGACAAATTATTACAAAACAACGAGTTGTTGTATTTAAATATTCTTAATATCCTGTCTTAACCAAGTTGACGTAACCGGCTGTAGACTTGAAGAAAACAATTTTTTGCAGTTTTCAGAGTTATTTAACAAAAAGGATAATACCTGCAGAAAGATCATCAGTATACTATTAAAATGACGGGCTCCAATTATAGTCTACCTTAAGTGGAAATATTTATGCCACATTGTTAAAATAGGAAAAATAAAAAGAATTAAAAATGGTTTATAGTAAAACGGCGTTGTGGATATGCAAAAATAATGCATCTATGTCATTAAAAACAATCGGTTGCAACTTTTATAAATATTGTGTAAAGGAAATCAATTTTAAAACGAGAAATGTAATTTTCAATTCCCGATACAAAACACAATTGATGTTAAATGAGCGCCGACCAAAATTAGTTATTAAAATTCAATTAAATATTAATAGAATTTGTGGGCACGTTTAACGTCTGTTTATTCCCAACCATTCGGGGCTCAGGCGGTTTGTTGGATTTAGCAGTTTTTGCCAAATACTTATAGAAATAAAATATCCATAAAAAATATATATAAATAAGTTTATTAAAAATTAAAAACATTGCTCGTATTAAAAACATTTGTTTTTTTTAAGGTTTTAAATAATTTGTATTTGTTTCGTTATAAAATCATAAGCTATGATAATTTTACTTTATTTATATTAAGTACTTTTAAAAAGGTTTTCCCTTTTGGAATATCAATTTTATTGAAAAGCTAAAAATATTTAAAAGGGTTTATTGAACTAAATCAGTGAACTAATTTTGTCAAAATTAAAACTCTTCCCTACATCAGTCATTTTATAGACAATTGAAGATGTCGCTATTGGATTTGGCGCTGACGTTTTTGGTAGCAAAAAAGAAAAACTCTATTCCATTACACATATATAAATAATACAAATTATAATAAGGTCTTACAATGTTTGTTTAATCGTGCTGCTTTAAATTTTCTTATGTAATCATAAACATTTTTTCTAAAATTCTATTTGTAAAAGGAACATATAAAAGCACATATAAATATGTGTGTATGTGTGTGCAAACACCGAAAACTGAAGTAAATAAACCTGTACGACCACGCTCAGTTTAAAGATATTCCTTTTGAGAAAATCTGTTTATTCACAATCGGTGTTTTTCTCTTTTATATTTGTTGTTTTAAATTCAATTTTCAATTTTATAAACTTTGCATTTCCTATTGAGTAATAAAACCAAACATCTATTCGACTTTTACTGTACAAAAATAGCATGCCCGTCACAATCGCCAAATGTAGCAATATATTTTTACCTGTATTTTAAATTGACCGTTACTGTGCCGAAATTAACTGCTTAAAGCCAGCAACGCCAACACAATCGCTTAGACAGTTCGCACAACAATCCTATTGTAAAAAAAAATGTTTTTATTTATATTATGTAAATAGACAATGTTTTACCTATATATATATACAGTAATATCGTACAAAACTTAGTTGTATATATTGAATATATTTCTTTAATGCACAGACACAATATAAGACAAATAGGGTAGTCTCAGCAAAAATGCTTTTTCAAAGTTTTTTTTATTTTCAATAAAGAACCTGTCGTATTTTTCTTCGAATAAAAAACTATTAGTTCGGATATAAACAAAGTAAGTTTGACACTATTTTATTTATAAAGTTCTGAGTTTGATAAAAAAAAGCCGAATCGAAACAATGGAATTACAGCTGAGTTACAATTTTACTTGTTTCTTCTATATCGTCAATAAGGTCTACTAATTATTATTAATTATTATTAGGATTATTGGTAAATAAAGAAGCTAAATGTACATTTTTTAAATAAAATCTTATATATTTATTTATATAATAAAATTGTATTATAGTTTATATTTATTATCACTATAAAACAGATTACAAACAGGTATATTTACACATAAAGGTAATTATAGTATAAATAAAAATAACTATAATTTCTATAAAACAGTTACAATTATTTTTTTTAAGTAATGCTCATATCTTAACTAAATAAAAACAAAACTGTTAAAGTAAATAAAATGTAAATAAATGATTTATATTTTGAAATATCTAACATTAAAAATACATTAAATACATACAGATCTGTTCGCTGAGTGAAAACGTGATGGATTATGAGCTGTTATCAGCCCCGTCGGATATGTTTAACACAATATTATGTATGAGAATACATTTCATTATCCGAATCAATGTCCGTGTGTATAGTGCACGCCAAGAGTTCAAAAAAGGAATATGCAAATCTTCGCAATCTCCTTTTTACCTTAAAAAAAAAAAGGAGAAGAATGATGAAAGCCTGTAACCAATGGTTCAATATCGACGCTATCAATTCTTTAAAAACATTATTGAAATCAATATAACGGGCAAGTGATTGATAGAATACATGCATACGGTCCTTTTCAATTTTGTTTTCATCCGTTTTTAGTTTGCCCTAAGCGTGTTAAATGCATGGACTCTTTTTCTTGTACCATATGCCCCTCTTCGAAATAGTAATTTTACAGATTTATTTATATGTTGCCAAAACCTGATACACAAAGTCTGCAAAATAAAATACCTTAATGATTTGTGAATGGTGTATAATATATTATTATTTAGTTGATTATTTAAAAAAAGAACTACAATGAAATCACACCCGAGATTGACTGTAAAAAGGAAATTAACGGAGCTGCGTCTTAAGCGTTTTTTTTATACCTATATAACGTATTATTTTTTCAGTGTTGGCAAATCAAAAGATTATGTATTAAGAATTAAACTGCTTTATTATTATTAAAAAAAACTGCTTTTAAATGCGTTGTCATCAAATCACATTACACGGACGGATGAACGCGAACCATAAGAAAAAAACAAATGCGAAAGACCATACTATGTTTTTTTTATTCGGAAAAAACTTATTATAAACTATACTTCGCTACCCACCAACAAATATTCAATTAAAAAAAATTGCGATTTTTTTCAACAGAAAATAATTACAATTGTAAAAATAACCAAAACTTTGTAAATACTTGTATCACTAAGCTAAAATAATACTACAATTTATTATTTATTATTATAAACTTAACGGTATACAGTTATGTAAATTCTTCTACAAGTTCTACAAATGTTTAATCAGTTTTTGACAGTGCACAGCTATGAACTATTTTCGGGGGGGGGGGGGCGATTCTAATATCATATACGGGTCGTAAACCTATGTAATAGGTGGTTTATAATAGTCGCTCCTAAATATTTGAACTCGTCTACAGATTTAACTTCTTTGTCCTCTAACTATATAGCCGAGCATTATCAAAGACACTTTCATAAGGCATATTTATTTGGTTTATCGGCATTCCACTTGTTTCAAACGCATTCCCCTGTTCATTTAACTTTTGCAGCAAGTCTTCTGAGGACTCACTTATTAGTATTAAATCGTCCGCAAATAGCATCCGCCATATGTCTATTTGAATCGCCCCTAGATGTTTTCCACTGTTGGTATGCTTTGTAGTGTTTTATCTACGTCACTCGCAAACTATGTCTTCAGAAGTGTAGCACACCCGACTTGTGGAGCATACAAACTTACGGAATGTCTAGATTGACAATCACTATAACTAGTATAATGCAATCGCAAATTCTTTTAACGCTAACAACATGACATGCTTAGAAATGTCAATACTAACTCCAAATTCACGACTGTCTCTGAAAAAAACCTATTTCCATACATCTTACGTGGAAATCTACCGGGTCATCATGGTAGTTAAGAATAAATCAAAATATATGCTTTGAAATGTCAGACATTAATCAGAATTCACGGCTGTCTCAGCAAAAAAGTGTCGATTACTTGAAAACAAGCAACTAGAATTTCGCTGTTAAACAAATTATTTTTACCTTGCATAAAAACCATAGTACTAGCGACAAGTGTTTTGTTTTCTCTTAAACTTATTAATGATTTCGCAGTCCAACCAAAATATTGTCTATTTCTTTTTTATACGGTTTTGCATAAATTTATTGTTTTTGTTCGTTTAGGTCCGCAACGCCACTGCCGTGTTTATCATCAACTTAAGTGTATCCGACTTGAGCTTCTGCTGCTTCAACCTGCCGCTAGCTGCATCTACATTCTGGTATAGATCTTGGATACACGGCCATCTATTGTGTCGCCTATTTCCGTTGGTCAGATACGGACTACTAGCTGTGTCACTGTTCACCATATTGGCCATTACTATCAATCGGTACATCATGATCGGACACCCGACGTTGTATCCCAAGTAAGTTGATAATAGACTACATTAAACAGTTAGTACGTTAAAAGTCCATAGAGCACATTCAACGTTTTCTAAAATAATTATTAATGATTCCTTAAAAAAAAAATCGGTAGGTACCGTATACTATCTATACGATCAGTCTTATAACAATAATAAAAATAACTTAAAAATGGCTATACCATTAAGTAAAAAGTTTAAAATGGATAATTTCCTAAATAAATGGATAAAGCGGTTAAATTTACTGATACAAAAAAGTTAAACCGTACACATAGTATACTTGATATCCTTTGCGTATTTGTACACACTTCTATTTCAAGTCAAGTTTATGAGTTTCCCAATAACGTTGGGATAATTTATATATATGTGTATATAACTCTCCTATTAGTCTTTACTCTTAACACATTGTATGGCCGGTAATTATACATTTCTCGTGCACGGTCGGTTATCTAATTATAGGGATAACTTAAAAATTAAAACATTAATACTTGCAAATATTTTAATTTAACAATAAAAAACAAAATCTATTTAATAGGGCCTCTTCATCTAATCGAAAACAACTCATTGCATTTTAATCGTACTCTGAAACGCGTAATTCGACAATAGTTTTGAAAATATACGTAGGTTTTTTAATACTTGCTCGAAGCATTGATGGAAATTCCTTTTTTTAATTTTCGTTTTTAATAATATTGTGAAAAATAATTAAAAATTTTAATTTCTCAACTACAAAATAATTAATTAGGTAACTAAAAATAATTTTTTGTGCCAAGATCGATGCCGTAAATGCAGTAAATGTTATAAAGAATTCATATTTTTTTTCAAAACTTTAATCAGAGTATTCTTATAAACGTGTTCTGTTAGTAGAAGAAACATAGTATATTTTTGTACAAAAATATATTACCAAAATACATTAATGCTGTGTTGATTTATGATTTTACAAATTTCAGTCCACAAATGGTGTTTTTTGAAAAATTGCCTGTATATTACACTTTAAGAAATGCTAGTTTAGAGGTCCCTTCAGAAAAGTTTTGAATTAGTTTGAAATTTCCAAGAGAGTTGAATAAAAATATTTGATTAAAAAAATGAATCGAAAAACAAGATATAAAAAGCACTAAAAAATCATATTTGTAATAACATGACGCCAAGTGCTTTTTTTATATTTTCCTCATACTCGCTAAAAAAAACCTAAGACATTCATAGAAAAACTGATATGATAATATTTTCAAAAGCGAACAACATAATATTGTAAAATGTACAATTTTAACATTTTATCTTAATCTCATTTAGGCCACTATACATTGTCTCTTAAGACTTATTAACATTATATTATACATTTTTAAGAATCATTAAATGTTATTATAATTTCATATAAATATATAGTTTTTTGTAAAACTGATCAATAAAAACGTGGTGTTAAAAACTTTTTTTTATGATTTAAAAAAAAAATTAAAACTAGATAATCACAGTATCTAATTGTTACCGCTATTATTACAACTCTTAGTTATAGCTGAAGTCAGCGATATATCTGCCTTATTTACAATATTTAATACTATGTAATAATTATATACGAAGTCAGTTTTAATTTTTCTTAATATATAACCACATATCATAACGCAACACATAAAAATGAAAAGTGTGTGTGTGTGTGTGAATAATGTTATTCGGTAGCTTTTCCCGTTGAAACGGTCGCCCAATTTCCCGTGAAATTCACACAAAGTTTGTTTCCCCAACAATTTCCTCAAAGACATCCGAGTTGACAAGTCGTCGAGACATAAAATGAGCAAAATAACTCAGCAAAGTAACCAAGTATTCTATTATAACTTCCAACCAAACCCGGCGACGCGACGTGTATCCCCAACGCAACGAGGCGGTTTCAATGTTAAAAGTTGTTGCACATTTTCTGTTAACAAAGTTTTATAATATAAAATTATATTATTGTAAGAGATGTATGTACGAGATGTTCAGAGATTAATGTGTCTTAGAAGGGCCGGGCCAGAGTTATTTAAGTAACTATATTAAACTTATTTCAAGCCGTTGAGATCTAACGCTACTCTTTACAGTTATTTATCTAGCTAAACGTTCATTATAGCCATTATCGCTCCTAAGAGCTTCATTTACTCCGGAATTTATTCCAATATTGTTTCTTGGACATTTTTTGTTTGATTTCAATTTTGTATTTGCATGGATCAGTTGATATTTTGTTCTTCATACAAGTAGTTTTACTCAAGATCTATAGCTTTCAAGTAACCCATCTTATTTGTTTTTAAGCATAACTTCTTTAGTCGTTCTATAATTTTTTTCATTTTATAACCTTCAATTAAATTTGTTTGGGCATAGATTTTGCGTAGAATTTTCCTTTAAGACTTCCTTAACTTGTTCATATGAAACTTAGTGAACGCCAACGCTCGTCACTCCTTCTAAATATAGGTTTACTGGTATGCTGTGAATCTCAGGAGATCCTAACTATTTTCTTTAGTAGATAATTTCATTAATAAAAAAAAATAACTATTGACCGTAAACTTAAAAAAATAATATTCTTTAATGAATTTCTACATGATTATTATCTAACTATTTTATGAGAACTTCCCAAATATTTAATGATATACTATTCGATCGGTATTAACATGTAAAATAAAATATATGTTTAGTTTAGATGTAATTCTGGTTAATTATAATTAAGCTAGGATTGAGTGAGTACTATTAAAAACCTTAGAAGGTATGGTTTAGAAAAATTGCGCTTGTACTTGTTCTCCGTATCTCTCTGCGGATATAAATTAAATACTAGACTTATAACACATCATTGCTAATACCTATGCTTAAATATTTCTCATAAAATACTAGATACTTTGGAAAAGTATTAAAAAAAATCATCTTTTTTTAAAATAGGAATTTTTGGAATGAATTAAATAAAAACGCCTTTGAAATTCGCTCTATAGGGCGATATTTTCACCAATATTTTAAAAATTTTACATTCAAATTCTAATGATAATATATTATATATTTTTTGTCAGACTGGAAGATATAATAACTTTTCTCATTTACTTCAATGCTAAATAAGCAATATTGTAAGCTCAACTATGAACTACCTACATGGCGTACGATGATAAACTATAAATTCATTATTTGTACGTTTATTTTAGTGTGTTGGCAAAATTGTTTTTATTCTTTTAACCACAAGTAGACAAAGGTATACGAAAATTTTACTGAAAAATAAATTACCCGTGTTAAGTCATATCGATAACCATACCCTGTCAGATTTCAAATTATAAATACTTAATATACTTTTTACATAAAATAGGTACATTATTTGAATGTTGTTTCCAACGTTCTTATCCGATGCTTATGTTTGTTTTTCGACTTCTACAAAACGAGTTTCGCATAACAAACCAACCTGTTCGTCGGATAAACATTTTATAATTAATCGCCAGAGCAATAATCATAATATGTTGCGCACGACCTATGTGTCTAATATTAAAACAGTAGAATTAACCGGATATGTACGTTGGCGTACTTCTTAGGTGTAGTTATTTTATTTAAAGGTGTTTTTTTTTGTTTTGCTCTTTTCCAGGCTTTACAAGAAATTCTACTTGGGCGTGATGGTGACCGTGACGTGGGTAGGCGGTTTCGGCGCGCTGGTGCCCACGTGGCTGGGCAAATGGGGAAGGTTCGGGCTGGACGTGACCGTCGGATCGTGCACAATACTGCCAGACTCGTTGGGCAGGTCGCCCAAAGAGTTCCTGTTCATGGGGGCTTTCGTGGTGCCCTGCGTGTCGATCATCGTGTGCTACGCCCGCATCTTCTACATCGTCCGGAAAACGGCGCTCAAGTCCCGGACCACGGTGACCGCCGCCCCCAGAAACCCGATGTCTTCCTCGAAACCGTCTTCGGCGGACACGGGCGCCACTTATTACACGCTCAAGACCCGATTCAAGGTGCCCGAGATCTCTACGGATTCGGCGATTGGCTCGAGCACGGCCACCGGCACATGTTCGATCAGCGACTCCAAGGACCAGCACATGTTGTCGCCGCACGACGTGCTCCCCGACCCTTGTTCGTCCGGGCTCGACGACAGCTACTCGCCGCTGTCGTTCTCGGAACGCAGGAGATCCAAACGCGACAGATCGCCTTCGTCGGCCATCAACGCCACCATCACGCACGTCGTGTCCGCGGTAAGTACATTAAATGTAATATTAATGTTAGAATAAATAAAAACAATTCAGACCGCATCAAAAGAAGTGTGTTTGATAATAATTCAGATAATGTGTACTCGAGTAATAAGATTTAACCGAATATGTCAACTTTGAAGCGTAAATTAATGATAATATAGCGGCCATGGTTAGCTCAACTCTTTTTTAGACATGTCTTACGGATAGACAGACACAACCGCCGTAAAAGAGATTTTTATACTTACCATAGAAATCCAAAAACCTCAAACGTCAAATATATCCTACCTATGACAACCGTTAATAATTAGTGAGCTACATTAGTTAAACTACGGCTATTTACTGATATTTTTGAAAATATTTTTACCTACTAAAAACAAACGACATTTATACGTCTTGTAAACCGAATTTCGGCACGCGTTAGATTTGGTCAGTTTAAAAGACTTTGGAAACGGCTGTCTGCAAGACCATAACACCGTTATCGCATTAACAGTTGAAAATGATTAAATTATTTTCCTCGAATACGGTAACACGTGTAGACCAGCATTTAACACGTGTAGGGTGTTTCCTAATTCCTTGTTCAAACGACTTGATCACGTGCGCTTTTCACTTTTACGACATGGGTCACATTGCCATAGAAAATCATTAATTAATGTAGTCTCGTATACGAACGCTTTGGTATTTCGCACATACTTCAATCCATTTTATACACAATGGCCAGCAAAGATTTATCGATTGCCATTTCTCACGGGTAAATAAATTGTTTAAAATTCAGTTCGATTGAAATAATGCGGTTTTTCTCGAGCCATTTTCTTTTTTAGCGTTCCTAGTTTAATTTCTGTCCGTGTCCAGTGTTGAGATTGTACTCGTTGGCGGAGATCAGTGGTGGGCTTGGGATACTAAACATTTTTAAATGTATAATTCACATAGCTGTTAATGTCATAACGTTACGTGCGCAGGTGTTTCAGACGAAGGATCAAGACTCCTCTCCCAGAACGCGTAAGCAGAGCACCGTCGGGGTAGACAAGATGTCGTCCAAGGACAAGAAGCTGCTCAAGATGATCCTGGTGATATTCGTGTCGTTCGTCACGTGCTATTTGCCTATTACGATTAGCAAGACACTGCACGAGTTGGAAGACTTGCACTTGTTAAACATCATCGCGTATGTGTTGATTTACCTAACCACGTGCATCAACCCGATCATATACGTGGTGATGAGCTCCGAGTACCGACAAGCCTACAAGAACCTGTTGATGTGCAAGAGCTCGCCGGACCACCAACAGCCAAACAGAGGGGCGAAAAAACTATCTGGTCCTTAATACATGCACACCGGACAGTAGACAGATAAAAACGATAACGATTGTTCACCATTAATTGTGTTTTTTTGTGCAATATAAATTATATTTATAAACTATACGTGTGATTCCAGTTGTATCAAACGGACGACTTCCGACTCAATAGCCAATTCATTCACAGTAGTGTCACTGCCACGGACAAACCGCGTTTTGAATAATATTATTAACTGCTCAGTTTGGTCAAAGGAGTAACACGTGTAAGGGGGAGGGAGAGCTTAATTCTAACATTTTCTATTTTAAAGTAGTTTGCAAAACATATTTTAGCTTACATAAAGGAGTTGACAATTTTTGTTAATCTTGACCATGTTAAAATATCTCCTCGGAAAACTTAGCTCCCAAACTCTATTTCAGTTCGCCTTATAAACAGTAATTGTATATAAAAAAAAAACAATCTTAGGTAATCATACGACGAGAAGTTAAAGTATTGCGTTTAACCAGGAATGCTGCGGTAACTTAACAGAACACACTGCCAACCTTAGGTCAAAACTTTTTAAAATCCTCATCCTACTTCGGGGTTCCTGATTTAATTGCATTCTATTATCATTTTTAATTTTGCAATGTCAATGAGTTAAAATATTATATTGTCGTATCAAATATAATTTAACTAAGTTAACAGCTAAAGTAAAGTTAGTAAATAAAACACAAATATTTGTTTTATTTATTTACTTAAAAAATGGATTTTTTTTTTGTTTTTATGTGGTAAACCAAAATTAATTTTAAGTAGTGAGAATCAAACGAATACAAATATCATTCTTCTGAGTAAATTTTATAAAATTGTACAGCAGTACAAGATGAAAATTTTACTTCCATTGTTTTTTATATGAGTGATGCTTAATAGTTTATTCCTACAAAATTTTAAGACAAATTATTATAACCCCAAATACAGAAGAAAAACGTGCTATTGACAAAATATAACGTTTGACCTAAAACTGGTTTTTGAACAAAATGGTGGCTTACACCTTTTTGGTTCTCACTGGGTTCTTATCACTAATTCTATATATATAGCTTGGAAATATAGCCATAGTTATTTTATAATATTTTCAAATTTAAAAATATTATAGTACGTATTTGCTTTTCTTCTGTACTTTTGAGTTTAAAAAGGTTAGTCTAAATTATAAAGAAAAATGCATTGATATATTTATTATACACTCGGCGACGCACATGAAAAAATATAGCGGTAATAATTAGCAATCGAAATTATTCGAATATTTGTAAAGCAACAACTAAAAGGTATTAAGTTTAGGCAAATTAATATATTCAAACTATTTAATTATTAGAATTTAAAATTTTAAATCACATTACTTGCTACTGCCTACCCGTATCTTAGATAAAGTAGGTTTTAATACTTCGAAGTATAGTAATAAGATTTATGGTCCATTAAAAACGTAATGCGCCACTATATCATATTTATGCTTAGCTCTGACTAAAAAACAATTATTGTATGTTTATTAATCTAAGAGTCATGTTGATTACAACAGTAAGTTTAAAATTATGGTCATTAGTGGGAAATAAAACACACTAATGCACATTTTCCAAACGTAAGACTAAGCTTTTTTTTTTAAACCCAAGGTATAGAATTATATTTACATAGGCACTGTAGTCACTAAAGCCCCAGGTACATCACAGTGACAATCGGACGTTTTCCTCTCCAATGTGATTTTCTTGATTATGTGTTTATTACAGAATGTTAATGAAAGTGTATGGAAACGAAAGGAGTTCCTAACATATCAAAGAAGTACATTAAATAATATTGTTATTAAAAAACGCACTTAATTTTTATATCTTTCAATATGTATAATAAGATAATGTAAATTTGTAAATAGATGTATAACAGTTATGGGTCAAGTCCTTCGACCACATTGATTTTGTATTGTTTCATATTTATATATGTATAATTATAACGTTTTCTTTACATAGAAAACGTGTTTTAACGAAATCGGTTACCATTAAATCACTGCCCGACTTCTGAAAAAAAAACATGTAAACCGACAACAAGCGACAATACTATCGTTTAGCCAAAAGACGGACACAAAATAGTGCTAGAAAAAACTATTATTTTGCATTTAATTAACAAACTTATTGTAACCGATTACACGTTGTCTCTTGCCCTTTGTTAATTGATAGTACCTATAGTAATTCGGTTTTGTGTTTCTGTAGGTTCTGTAGTATTGTAAATTAACAAACGGCACATTATATGATTTTTATTTAAAAAGTTCGGTGAGCTGTGCTCGGTTAAACGCTAGTATAAGTCGCCTGTATTTTTATAATTAATCATACAAACACACTACCGTAAAAAATGTTATACGTTGTGAAATTATAAAAAAATAGCATCGATAAGAGTTATTCGTAGCATTTATAGCTTGTAAGACAACGATATTTTATAACTTACCTTATCAAATGTCTAATGTGAAGGTAGAAGTGAGGACAAGTGATTTTGGTGATCCGGTGAACGTTTTGAGATGCTCGTGGCTTCTGGCGTTTGTATAGAAATGGCACATAATATTATAGAACAAGAGTCCGGATAAAGTTCCAAGCGAAATTCTCATTTTATCTCATCAACTAAAATTTAAAAAATTCCCAAACTCATTATGTAGAATGACGTGTGCTTAGCCCGGAACTTTAACCAGACCCTTGTGATACAGTATGAATAGTTGTGCAGGCTCAGTGCAAAGTAGACTGATTATATTTTTTGTAAATATTGCGTTTTGTGGTGTTAAGTGAACGGTAAAGAATAGACTTGTGCGAATATATTAAGCTATGTATTTTAGTTGATAATTTTGTGGTTGTTATTGGCGGTGATATTAAATTATATTTTTGTTTTGTTCCATGCGTTTGTTGGCTGTGATTGACAAGTTGGATAGATACCGTGAGAGTTTTTATTGTATTGTTAAAATTATTGTGCAAAGTATGAGGTAAACGACCTTCTATCGACACCCCCAGCAAGGGGCCGGGCACATCCATCCTTGTAGGAAGGTATCCATCTACGCCTACTAGCTACCGTTAGGCCATTCTATAGGAGCCGGGGGAGACATTAATTTATTATATTACACGGTAAATGCCTTGGACGAATCGACGGTCGTTATTTATTTTAATAGGTCAGCCTCGGCCCGTTATTTTGTTGTATTGCGTTTTAATGACTTTATATATTGTGTGTGTTGATTGGATGGATGGAATGGACATCATTGGATTGGCTCCAAGTCAATTCAATTGTGTCATTAGTAGTTCACGTTGTGAGCATGGTTATGCTATTTGGTATATTTTTAAAAAAAAATTGTACTCTTGTGTAGTTTATTCACTCCGTATTCTCATCTGGAGTAAACATTTTTATAGGTTACATAATGAAACATTTGAAAGTTATGTGTGAAGTTTATTTTCATAACCAATTTGTTCGTCACGATTGCCCTTCGAAAATTATCTATGTGGATAGGCGCTAATCTAATAGTTTTCTATACAACTGTATTTTTGTTTTTAACGGAATGGTGTTTATTATTATGTTTAACTTTTGACAAAATAAATTGTAGTTTCAACTATTCTAGAATCTAGTATATTTTTCTAACCGTTCATAGACACTTGAAAAATATCGCAATATATATCAAATTAACATACTCTTAAAACGGTAAACCAATGAATTGTTGTTAAGTTCTACCGTGTAATACTTCTTCAAATATACTCATAATACTTTTTCTAAAAAAATATTCCACTATTACATGGATAGTTTCTTTTATGTAAGAAACTAATATCTTATTGGTAGATAGTAAAATCCCAGTGCGCATATCCGTTTCACCTATATCTGCTATTATTTTGAACTCTACCCCAAATAATTAGAAGTCTTTACTCTTAAGTGTCATTGTACCGGTCAAAGTATATCCAAAAACTGTAGTAATCATTTATGGGTCCTGTTCTCTAGCCACCCAGTTTACATTCCGTTGCCCGTCCCATTTTATTACCTTCTAGAATGCAGCATTTTATGGTCGAAATCCGCGAGGCATTGAAATCGAAAAGGGCTATAGGCATCTAAAGGGAAGACGGATAATAACAGCTTTAACCATTCGGCATGATAACGACCGTTATCTTAAACGTCCAACAAGTTTGTAAGATAATTTGCTAGGATCCGCACGTTGTACAATTTCGCAGTAGTACCTATACTATACTATACCCTGTGCGGCGGCGTTCGACTCGATAAGGCCAAAACCCGCTTATAAATGTCTTATATAAACAACAACCGTTCCGGATAGCATAGATAGATAAGCACACTTATAGATCAGGATATTATTAATTTTAAGAACTGACGCTTTCGGCGAAACGACGATATGAGTACTTGGTATTTGTTGATGATGTTAAGACTACCCGCAGCGTAGAGATTCTTAAAAAAATATATAACAAAAAAATCGATGTCTATATACTATCTCCGGACATAATAGCACAGGTCTTCTTCTGGACGTTTTAAAATCATCTACCGGACAATGGCCGTACACAATACTATCGAGACAAAACAGGTGTGTATTTGCAGAGACTGTTGTAAGTGCCGGTTAAGGACTAGGGTGGGCAACTCGAGACGGTCATAGGAGATAAGATGGATTCGGTAATGAGCTCACTAAAATCTATATATTATTATTATACCGGATTCGTTCGCCGACAGCGTTCAAACTCGGTATTTAAAAAACAATGGCCATCGTCTCACTGCATCAATCAAACGCATAATTAGTTTGTGCGACGTTAAAACGGATAGAAAAAACCCTATCGATCACCGGTTAGGTGGTATTATTATTGTATTGTTCATTAAACGCGGCACACTCCTAACCCTTTGGAAATAACGATTGATCGATTCGATTCTTGTCCAAGACTACCGTCGATGCTATAATTTTTGTTGAAAACGCCTAAAACTTATCCGGGGCACAATATTCAAGGAAGGGACCGAGGGGGTTGCAGCCCTCCTCAAAATTTCACAAAATGTTTCTTTTGTTAATTTGCTAAATCAAAGTTTATCCCTACCCACAAAAAAGTTCTGGCTAAGCCACTGCAATATTATATGCAACCACTGCTATGTCATCAAACCCAGCAAACTCAGTGATGCTCTGTGTAACACTGTGCGACTTGTCTATCTATCTATATATATATATATATATATATATATAAATCTTTTTTTTAGTCAAACTGGGTTTTTTTGTTTTTCAAACGGTAAAATATCATAAAGATTATGGTTTGCATAGGAGGGATATTTTTTCCAGATAAATACTTATAAAAATTTTTTTTTTTTCATTAAACGCCGGAAAAAAAAATGCAGTTGGATTTTACGACCATTTATATAGCTGTACAATAAAATAAACAAATAAAATCGCAAAACATGACATAATAATAATATCATAACTGTAGATTCCGTCTTTTTGTTTTATTTTTTTAGCAAGCTTAGTATTGGAAAAGCGTTTAACATCATAATAATTACATTTCGAAAACTAACACAAAACGACCATGGTATTATGAACGTGAAAAAGAAGGGGGGACATTTTTTTATCGGTAGTTTTCGAAGAATGCTAGTTTCAAAAATTGGATGGATTTTTCAACCTCAATATTATTTTCCGCGGTTTTTAGCTATTTGAACTTATTCTGGTTTCTTTTTATATAGGTACGGTATACTATTATAGATGTATTTTTATTACCTACTATTGCAAAGGTGCTTAAGCGCAATGTTATGACCGCTAAGTCTGAACGGAATTTAAATCGCTTATATTTTTATGGCATAATATAGGTATACCATATTATTGTATGGATTACATTAAAACGTTTGGGGGAAATCGGGCTTGTTCCCTCCAGTTTTTCATTGCGGTCCGGACCATATAGAAAAAACCGTAAAATAAACGTGGTTTTACACAATAATTAATATTAATTAATACTAGGACATTGTGAATAGTAAAAAACTATGATAATCCTCCCATATCAACGGCGTGTGGCATGATCATTAGTTGATTTCTACATAATAAATAATAATAATTATGAACGATAAAACAGTATAATAGATTTGAACCGAGTGAATTAAACTACAATATGCCAAATAAATAACTCACGGTAATTGATACCTATGTTTTAAAATAATATAAAAACAGTGTTTTGTATTGTTAAGTATACATAATATTATATGTCAATGTAATTTTGTACGAATACCGATTATTATTTTATAAGTTATTGTTTATAAATATACTATTTAATTTTGGTAAAAATATAATTTATATATATTACAATAATATATTCCTTGTAGAGGATAACAACACTCGAGTGTTTTATACGTTTTTACATAATTTATCATTGTATGTATATAATAATATTACAATACATAATATATATATATACCAATGTAATCGTGTAATTTAAAATAGATCAATATAATGTATTGGTAAGAATAATATCAGTTCTTATTATTTCTCTTCAAATGTTTTTTAGGCTCCGAAATTGAATAAAAAAAAAAAACACTTGACATACATATGATTCTAGTAAATAAATAAATAAATAAATGTGGGCTTTAGCTTTAAAGTGACACAGTTGGGTAGAAAGCAATCTAACAATTCTAAATAAACTTCCGCTAAAGCTTTCTACATACTTCCTAATTATTCCTTCTTGACAAAGTTTTGCAGCTAATATTTTAATTAATTTTTTAAACATAAAATAATAAAAATTGACATTAAAAATAAATTAGTTTATTTGAAAATGAGTATTTTATAAGTCGTTTTTTCCAAATTCCAATTAGTAAATTCAATTTTGATTTTTACATGACTATACATGTATACATTTTTCCTTAATCATTAGTTCCCAAACATTTTATTTTTGGTTTAGTATTTAAATTTAAATGGCCGATATGAAAATCGGTTGTTGTCAGCTTTAGCAGAAAAGTATACTGGTCGAAAAGGTGTTGGGTCGTATTTCCAAGTTTCTTAAATCATCACCAACAGACAATTTTTCATAGTCAAACTAGTTCTACACATATATTGTGGAAAGCAAAAAGGAACCTCTCGTCAGCATTTTCCAAAATTTAGTTAATGCTATTTTCTGAACCTTGATTGATTTTTGAACAATTTGAGACTTAGTACATATTTGTAGCTAAAAAATTAACTAAGTTTACTTTAAAAATTGTGGTCAGCCGACAAGAGTCCCCTTTACACTTTCAGCATCACATATAAATAATAATTTATCTAAAATTAGTCAAACTATAACTATATAAATATAAAGAGATCAATAATTTTATTTTCTACAACAATAGTTTTACTACAAACAATAATAATTCAAAAGTAATTTACAATATGTTCATACGAAATTTGTTTTTATTTTATGTTTCTTTTACCTTCTACGTTAAGTCTATTTTAAACTGCTTCATGCTCTTGAAAACAAAAAAATTTAATAAAAAATATCAGTTGTCGTTCATATAAAATGAATTCAATGTTCAAAAGCTATAGACGGTACACGTGTTTTGAGTTCAGAAAAACTTAAAGAAGCTTTCATATAATTCCAATTATTTACTGCTAAACATCTGTCAACACAAATATACTGTATAAAATATACGGTAGGAAAAATTCATGACAAAATAAAAGTTAAAAAACATTTTTTTTTTTTAATATACTCTTTACCTTCCAGAAAACGTCTCGTTCATGCCAGATTCTTTAGCGAAAAGTTTAATCGTCTCAAGTTGATCATTTGTGTAAGGGCTGTTATCACAAGGTGCGACTAACAAAGGTGGATAATCTGATGACGATGACAATGGTAACAGAAAAATAGCTTTCTTGTCTTCCGTACGATCATGATCATCCTTCGGAACATTAAAGCTTTTGCAGGTTTCCTGAAATTAAATCGAAACACAATTACAATCAACAACTCGGTTATAGTTAATAGTATCTATTAATCCACTTACAAAATACTGTTCAGTGTTAGCTGTTGTTACAAAAAGCATATCACTCACTATACTCCAACTATTATCATCTAACTGCATTAAGCAAAAACACCTGCAAAATGATTGCACTAATAACTTTTTGTTCTCCTCATATTCTTCTACGTATGCACCATTGACCACTATTTGAACCATCCCTGTCTATTTAAATACATAATTATTAGTCATAATCGTATTTTTATAACAGTTAACGATTAAAAAACAATAAATGTTTGAATTTACATAAGCCAATGGAACGTCAACGACAAATGATGCTAAATCATGTTTAGTTTTGGGTAATTTTTCTAAAATTTGAATAATGTTTCCTCTTCCTTTATGGATGAACTTAGATTTGTCTGTGGGTCTTGCTTGGTTGGCTGCGTTCATCTTGGCGATTTTCAGCAAATTTCGACTCTCTGCCAAATATGACTTCAGAATACTTTTCCTTTGAACAGTCACGAACCGTAGAGATCTATACTTTGATTGTAACACAAACTATACTTACTTTTCATAAATAGGATATGAAGACATCGAAAAAGTTGCGTTTTCATGGTAAGCTTCAGCAATTAGTTGCTTAGATTGTGAACTATCGTATCGTTCGAAATATTGTGATATGAATGAATCGACTAAAATTGCAATGGGGTTAGGTTTTTCTGGGTTGTAATTCTCTGGTACTGCATAGCTGTTTCCTAGATGGAATGGCATTTTTAATACAACATTTGTAATGCCACTGTACCGAGCAGGCAAGTCAACATTGTCCTATAAAAACAACAAATATTATGTAGCAATGTCTCAAATCCTAACGTAATTTATTAGATTCTTTCAAAATAAAAATATGGCCACCATACAATGACAACATGGAGTATCAAGCTTATGTCTGGCAATTAGAAACATTGATAAACTAACTCACATCCCAGGCAGGCTGGATCTGTGTTTTAAGTACTAAAAAAACACCATGATGTTATAACTAAACTTACCAGTTTTGTGAGATTTGGAAACAACTGTTGAATTTCTCTAAAAAGAGTGTAAAGTGGGTATTATAATTATTCAATTATTATATAATATCTATATTTAAAAAAAAATAGTAATATTTACTCTCTGTAGTCTTTGTCATCGGTGTTAGACACTGGATTTTTTGACAAGTCCAATGCTTCTATAGAGAATCCATTGAGTTCACGTAACACGTTTATGTCATTTAACTAAAACCAGAGATTTAAAAATCAAGCCTTTATCAATACATTTTAATAGTAGCTAAGCAAATTTTCAAACACTGTGTTTCAAAACGTTTTTTAACGTGTTTTCTCATAACAAAAAAAAATTGTACCACCAGTTAAATTTTTTTATAAATATTAAATTAAAGAGTCTTTAAATCATCTCGTCTTAGCCAATTTTTCGATAACCACAATTTTTTTCTACCCCACATATTTGAACCTATAGTAACACTGTTACTTGGTGTCTTTACTGAGCTTTTTATCTGAGCATGGGCGACACGCCGACACCCCTTTGATATATAATTTTAATTTAGATACCAAATAATATTTATTTACCTGATTTCCACTTAAATTCAATGTTTTTAAATCAGGAAAGTTCCTACGAATCCATATAAGTCCTGAAGTCAAATATATATTATTGTTTTCAAGACTCAAAGTATTCAAGTCATTGGTTATTTTTGATGCCATATTAAGTGCTTCTATTAGAAATCTTGGTTCATTTAGTGTAACGAATAATTGATTAACTATAAATGCTATAAAAAAAATACAAACATTATATACACAAAACTTTATTGCGGTTAGGGCTATTGGACTTCCTGTTGTCTTAATGGACAGAGTTGCGAGGCTCTTCTGCTAAACTGATTTCTATGTACAATAATTCCTTGAATTAAAATATGTTGTCTTAGAACTATATGAAAAATTCAATTATTTCCAAAAAGAGTTGGAGGGCTTGGCTAAATATTAATTTGGATGAGTCGCTATGATTTATAAGATATTGATCAATTGCCTAGCCACTCCATACGCACAAGGATTATACTCTAGATCAAGGCATTTGTCCAAAACAAGCCACTAGTTTAATTTAAGTTTTAAATGGCATTCAACTGTAATTAATTTGAAATTTACCTTGAGAATTGTGGAAGTTAGACAAATTTAAACTTCTGGTATCAGATTTATAACGTAATAATATAGCTTCCATCATCTTTTCTTTTATGACATCAGAAACTGGAATCGAAGATATTGCCTGTTTTGGAGGAGTGTATGGACCCACTTTAACTACTAACTAAAATTACAAAATATAATTAGAAACATAAAAATGTATTGCTTCTTTTTAATAATATCCACTTACTTTTTTATTGTCAGACTGTAATAATTTATTGTTAGTATAATATAAAGCTGTTGCGACATTGTAGTCATCGACTAAAAATTCTAAACTATTTTCTCTGAAGACTGCCTAAAACAAAACAACAGTACACTTTTAAATAATTCATTAAGTAATAAAATATAAATTCTCACATATTATTAACATACTTTATAAGGGAAAAATGAAATAGGCTTTACGTAAGTTTGAATAAGTCTCAAAATTCCATTGCCATCTTGAACATCTGGTACCTTAATTTTTAACATACATTAATTAAATATGGTTTGTATAATACACAGAAAGTTTTTAACTTTAGATGCCTTTCCCCATAAATTATTATTTAAAATTAAAGAACAGTAAAATATAAACTCAATTTTTTTGTGATAATTTTTAGTTATTATTTATACAATTATTATGAAAATGAATAGTTAATATTCACTTCTATTAACATAATCTATATGAATTTTGTGTTTTAGTCATACTATAAAAAATGTTTACTTAATAAATTAATAAGCACATAAATATAACTAATTTCCCCAACACTAGTGAAGCATTAACATTTCAATATTACTCATTTTTGTTTTTTCAACCACTCTAAATATCAAATATTAATGAAATTCTATTCTTTTAAAATACTTACAAAAATTGAATACCATCCTGTAAAACTCTTTCTTAATAACCAAGATGATCCACTTAAATTGTTCTTGTCTTTGTGATTGTTAGTATTCACTTTTTTATATGATCTAATATGAATAATATACACAAGTTAATTAACTAAAATCGAAAATATAATTGTTAAGTTGTACTTACTTCTGGCTATCATTATTACTGAATGGGCCATTTTTATTGTTAGGCTGATAGTCTAGTTTTTCAAATTTATTTTTCAAGTTTTTACATACATGATTTCTGTGTTTATTGGCTTTAAATGAATCTGTAAAAGAAATAGAATCAATGAATAAAATTGGAATAGTAACATATAACTGCAAATATGTAATATAATAATTATAGAAGGACGAGTGGCCGAGTCAGTATGGCGGCAGTGCCTGTGAGCTCACTGTCACCGGTTCAACACTCAGTAACAGGCGCTCCATTTGCCAGAGCACAAAAAATTCTGCCTCTTTGGCCTAACCCAAGGCCTACGTCATAGGTCTCCCAGTCATAAGACCATATTATGCATATTTTTTTTTATATAAGAATTTTATTCTAAACCAGCTTAACCGTAGAGATTGTCAAAACCTGTCATAGATTTCTATCATTTACAAAAATGTATTGAACATTTCTAGAAGAGCTACAGAGGAGAATACAACCAAATTTTAGAATAAATCTGTTTTGGAAAAGTTGCCCCATAGTACTTACGTAAAGTATTGTTCGTGCGCTTGTATTTACGGCGTCCTTCCCACCGATCAGCCATTATACATACCGCGAACTGACTTTTTTAGATACTTAATAACTATTGTTTGACGAGGTGATACAATTTAATTAATAAATTGAATTATTCCAAAATGATAATCTTCATCGTTTGCAAATTGCATCCAGCATCTTGCCAGTTAACTGTTATCAGGTTCTATGGCAGTATTATTTATTCTGTGATAACAGTAAAGCAAATCACATCATTTACATTTTACACTATCATAAATTTAGAGTTTGAACTATAATGTATACTTATTAATACAGTAATGAGGATACTTTGTTAATTGCCATTTTTTTTGTCAGACTATCACAGTCATTTCTATAGGATAAAATACAATATTTTTGCCATCAAAACTACTTTGCGCGGATTAATTTTTCTCAGGCTTCATACATAGTTAAGGAGAGAAATTCATACATATTATTTATGACAAAATTATCTGTGTTCCATCATCTGTATTTTTTCGATGTACCTAATACAACCAATGCTATATCATTTTTAAAAAAGTCCTTTCTTAACTAATTAATTATTCATTAACTGAACTCTCTTCTGACCATTGTGGATTTGTGAGTGAATTAAGACTATTCTTACACCAAACTTGGGCTATGTGAGACCACTATTGCTGTTCACGGCTGCCATGGTCTAAATGTGCCCAACTGATATCATTCAGTAACCGATTGTAAGTGATAAGTTTAGTAAACATATTATGGAATTTTTGGTGTAGGTTAAGTTGTTGGTCTTATTATTGGCATTGACGTATTTCCATAATTGTATACATTTTATTTTCTCAATAAACAGTCTGAAAAAGTGTCATGCTTTGGCTAGAATTTGGAATAACCTAAACAACAAACACTTTTCGAGTTAACTGATATAACATGAAATACATTTTTAGATTTCAAGTGCAAACACGTAACACAAATACAACCTACATCATTTCATATGTAATTGGCTAAAATATAGCAATTACCTACATATAATATTATATTACACATTGTAAAAGTGTTATAATTATATGTATTATAGCAATATAACATTCAACATGCATATATATTATATAAAAGAATATTCTTGAAAACTGTAAATATGTCATGCGTTTTGGACTCCTAAAAGTGAAATAACTAATAATAAAACTAAAAATCCAAATTTTAAAATGGATTCTCTTATTTTAATAATTGTCAACTATGTATATATTATACAAAAATAATCACAAAAAATATATTAATATATTACTTTAATTTATTTACAATTGGTTACAACATTAAAAATAAATTGTTTAATATATATTTATGAAATTGAGCAGTCTCTAAAATAAATTACTTTTAACATAAATAAAAACAATAATCAGTAATTATTTACTTGCCTAACATTCACATTAATTCTTGTACATTCCATGAATGATTTAAATGGTTGCCAAGCACAGCTATCATCTATGTATTCATTATATTGTGATAACAACACTTTAGGTACTCCGTGATAGCTTAAGCGGCTTTTATCGCTCATAATAACAATATCTCCAGTTTTCAATAGTATTGCTATTGGTTTATCATCCAATGAAGCCCCTCCAATTAGAAATATAGCACTCAAACCAAAGCTATAAAATAAATAACACTTTAAAGAAAAATGTAATATAAGTATTATTGTAATATCCATAAGTAGCATATAATAATAATTAACTATAATTATAGTTATTAGTTATTACCTAATTGACAATAATGGAGCTTCGAGGTTATACTCCGATTGATCAGTATGTCCACAAAGTATTGAAGATGGATGGTAAAAATTTACAATTGCTGCTTCAGCAACAAAGTCATTAGGAAACTGCAGTACTTTTATAATCGTTTTACTTAATCTAGCCAACTCTGGAGGAAACTCAGATTTTGCAGACTCAGAATATACCTAAAAGTTAGAATTTATAATATTGAAGTAAATGCCAAACAAAAACAAGTTGACAAGTAATAAAAAAATGTATTCAAATCCTGTAGCTTTACTGAAATATAGAATGTATAAAATAAAATAAAATAAACCTTTGAATCCCAGTTATGATGGTATCCAAGTGTTGACCATCTTAATTTATTTCTCAAATTTAAGTCTCCAGTTCTAAAAAAATTAAACCCAGAATGTTAATTATATAGTATATGTAAATTACAGTCTACTCACACTATTGAATAAATCACATAAGTATTTTAGTTTTTGAAAATAATTAGTTAGAACGCCTACGCACTATGTTATTGGTCAAGCGTACTAAAAGTTGTCGAATTATAAAGCAAAGGGTTAATCGTAATACATAACTGCCTTACTTATTCACTGTGGTCCACCAATCTTCATCGGCTTCTAAAAGGTGATGTGCATCAATGTTTAATACATTAGGCTTCCTAGTATAGTTTGCTACACATCTTTTTATCCATAGCTTTTGTCCAACCTCAGTGAATGGATTTCTAATACACACTAAACCTAAAATATGTGTACACATTTATAAAATGTAACTAATACAACTCCACATAATATAACAGTTACCTGGTATTTGCGTGATATCATAGCACTTCCAACTAGATAAATCGTTATTTAAACCAAGTCCGTTAAAATGCCCATTGTCATAGATTTTGGTTAATATTTTTTTAGGTTTCTAAAAATATAAATGTAACACTTGTCATAATTGACATGGAATAAAAATAAGTATACTAGAGAAAACCCTCGATTTACATACCACGAATTCTATATTATATTCGTCTAATTTGTCTAAATCAATTGTATCAGATTTGTCTATAGAATTTAAATGCTTGTAATATTTAAATCTCTCTTTAAACATTATTGTTATTTTTTTTATAAACTACATCAATAGTCAAATTGAATTTTAATTACAATTTCTTCTAGTATACTAAAAATACTGTAGGTATATAATATTAGTTATTATATTCTTAAAATTGAATAATAATCGTGAGCACACGTGTATAGTTAATAGTTATCAAACATGAGTTGTTGCTATCTACAATTATTAACAAGTGTATTGTAATTTTACGAGTGTGAAGTTAGCCATAAACGAGCCAGCAATATTTGATAACAGAAAGTGTCATGACGTTGGTGTATGTTGTGTTGCCAATACACTAAATATTCTAAGGGGCAGTCCATGTATCCACGTACACCGACGATTATTATTATACGATATCGACTTAATTAATTAAAATATATTCTAATTATCGACAAAACAGTAAGAGTATATTATTTAACTTAAAAGAATGGCGCTTGGGGTTTTGCGGCCGCCGAACCCAACCCAGCAATAAAAAAGCGGCCAAACGCCGACCGAAACCGGCGGCAGTTATGTCAATTTTTGACAATGTTCCGGAAGAGGTCCCCTCAATTTGACTATATTAATCGAAAGCTTACTAAAATGTCTAAAAATTCGTTTCTATAAAAAAAATTGGCACCGGGGGTCTTGCGGCCACCAGAAACCGCCGAACCCAACCCAACAATAAAAAAACGGCCGACCGAAACCGGCGGCAGTTATGTCTACTGTTTTTTTTAATTGATGGTGAATAAACCAAGGTTAATTAGAGTCTTGTTTTTATTTTATTTTATATTTTTAATATTATGCATTTTTTTTTAATGACTGTTAAATAAGGTTTTATAATTTTTCAATATAATACAAATCATATTGTAACAAATTTACAGTCATGAAAAAACTATGTATGGAATATTTAATTTTTCAGGAAATAATTAATTATTAAAAAAAAAAAATATTTAGTTATTTATATAGTTTGTTATTTAAAATAAATAATATTATTGACTACCTATATAAATATATTATTTTAAAATATACTATTTCCATTGAATTTTGCCAAAACAAACTAAGTGGTGGATATGGTACGGTTTGGCGCGATTCATTTCACAAAATTATGTTTTAATGTATCTAAATTTAAATTTACATATTAACAATTATCATAAATAAGTTCAGATTTCTTTTATGCATTTTTAGAATATTAGTTTTTTTCTATGACTTTCTTATAAGCTACAACAGAAAATCGATGTCACTGGAAAAAGCGAAAAATGGCAATAGCACGTTTTGCATAGGCCTTAAACTTTTAAATTGTTATTACACATTATTTCTTATTGTAAACTAGGTCACGTCTAGTTACCCCTTGTAATTATTATTAAAATTCGTGGGTGCGCGTGAAAAAAAGATTAAGTCAACATCTATGAACTTTTCAGGAAATGGAAAGTAAGGTTTAGAAGAATATGACATCGTGGGTGCGCGTGAAAAAGAGGTTAAGTCAACCACTATGAACTTTTCAGGAAATGGAAAATAAAGTTTAGAAGAATATGTAGGATCAGGTATTAGGATAAGATAAATATTCTTTTAATAAGATAATAAAATAACTTGTTTTATACTTTCCTGTATAAATTAAAATTATAACACTATTAAATTGTAAATTCAAAAATATTTAAGTCGACTTATCATAAAATAACTAGAAAAACTAAAAAAAACTTGAAAGACTAGAAAAACTAGAAAAACTAGAAAAGTTAGAAAAACTAGAAAAACTTACCCCTGTTGGTCGGGGTTAGAATAGATCATGGGTTGCTCCTGCCTGTCGTAAAAAGCGACCAAAAGGGACTTGTAGTAGGGCAGCAGCTACTACAATATTGGGTGTAGGTGCAGGTAACCAACAATGGTAGAAACAGCTACACACCAAACAGCAGCCAGCAGATACGGGAACTGTATAACTGGTAGCTGCACTGCGATACGGAAGGCAAGGGGAAACCACCGTATAAATCATCCCAAGAAATAGCAATAACATGACATCTTCACAAGTAACAGGGAAGAGTGGAGAATTGCTACAAACCAATCTCAGGATTGAATACTAAAGAAGAAGATTAAAATAAAAAAAAAGACGACAGTATACTGTATAAGTATTTTTCAATGTATTTTATTGGATTAATTAAAAACAAAAAATATATAACACAACACACATAAATTTGGATGAAATCTACTAAAACAATTGTAGCTAGTATTGGTGTTCTAACATTAGATTTATCTGATTTATTGAAGAACGGAGAAATTATAATATATAAAAGTATGCGTTTTAATGAAAAGTAAATTTTAACTCAAGCCGGCTTTTACTTCTAAATTTCTTCATAAATGTTTCGATGTTGAATATGGGTCTTCATGAAGAAGGAAACTGAAAACAAATCTATGTCACTAAATTTTTTATCAAGGTAGTCAACAAAAGTATTAGCATGTAGAATACTATTTTCGACACCAGCCTCTTTTTCACTTTTTGTCTGTAACATTAAACAACCCGTAGAACTGGGTGGGATCTCAAATAGTAGACTGTTGCTTTCAGCGATACTTTTAAGTGTGGGAATTGGTAATTCCATCGAGGTATCACTATAAGCTATTTTGGCATATAAAGATTCATAAATTGTTCTCTCCACATCCATTCCTTCTGTTTGTATAGTTGTTAAAGTACTGACGTCACAGTTTATTTGGGTTTTAAAGTGTTCACTGAACAGTTTAACTTCATCGTCACCCGGTAAAGCTAATAGCACTGTAAATTTCTCAAATTTTGCGTGAAATTTCTGATTGTACTTGGATCTGCTGCCAACTTTTTTTATCTCTTTAACACGAGTTAAATAATTTGAACATAACCGTAGCATCATCATTTTTATCATTGCCAAGAAATGACGATGGATCTCGTATAACGCACTGATATGTTCTGTTACTGATGTACTCGGATTTAACACCGTTCTGTAATTGGTATCAAAATAAGTTTTTAAGTTTGCGTGGTCCGACATCAATCCAAATCTAGTAAACAAGGTGTTCATGATGTCGTCATTATCAATCACATTTTTTAAATTTAGATGATCCATTTTTAGATGATATCTCCTCGCTAATGTTTCTTCGTTAGGTATATCATATCCTAAAAACGTGAGGGAAGTTTGTAGGTTTTCTTCCAACTTTAACGGATCATTTTCTGCAATTATATAATTAATGTACGTTTGGTATGGTCTTTGAAGTCTGTCTGCCGTTTCCAATTCAGGACAATCTATTGCCAACCTACTTCGCAATATCTCAAAAGTTTCATCGTGAATAGAATTTAATTCAGCTGATTGTGAGTAGAATGAATTTTGATTACTTCTGTAATACATTATGTTGTTTTTTATTTTATAAGTAAAAAAATAAAGTACCCACACAGGCCGCATCATTGTTTTAGTTTGTTGAGAATATGACAAGACCACTAACATTCTTTTTGCCCAGTTGTGAATGGAATTGAAATTCTCTATACTTTCAACTCCGCCGGTCGTTAGAAGACTAGATAAATGGACGTGTAAAGCTGCATGGTACAGAAGATTGCACCCCCGCTCGCGGTAAGATGCTTTGGCCCTAGGTGGTAAGTTATTGTAATGTTCTGGTAAAATGATATCCGGTTCACGTTCTGCATTAGTAGGATCCATACCTGAAATTCGGACCGCAACAAATAATATGACACTAGTAATTTACAATATACAATTTACATTTTTTTTTTCCAATGACTAAACTTGGTAAATACGGCGTCTTTAGGTGTTACTACTTTTCATTTTGACGTGGTATTTTTTTAAAAACTATTTATTTTGAATCCGAATGCCGCCTGTCGATTGTACAAACGAAAAAAATGTTTTGTCGCTACAAAATCCGATGACTATACAGGGTGCTTCATTAAGAATAAGACGCTGGTTTTCTCTGAAAAAAATAATATATTTTTTGTTTTGGGAAACGTTTTGTTTTTATATTTTACAATATTAAACAATATTCAAATTATTATTTATTTTATTTTTTATTCAATTAACTTTTTAAATAATAAATAATTTTCTTAATTTTCCGACCAGTGCATAACCAATTTTGAATAAATTATTTTAAAGTTTAAGTTGAGTAATGCGCAAATAAAAAAGTATTTTTTTTTTATGCTAAATAAGAATGATTTTTCCATTTCTGTCGAATATTCTTATTCTTAAATCATTAATCTTATCGACTCAATAGTAACAATTAAAATTTAACATTATTATTCAATCAAGTCTAACTTTAAGTTTCAAAATTTTTCACAACAATATGTAAAATAGTTTTCTCAACATTTTTCAGAGTTTTTAGCTTTTTTTATTGGTTTTCAACGTATTGAACACCATTCAACGGCGATTCGGACACTTTTTGTAACGGTCGGCCGAATGTGACACATGCGATAAAATGTAACATTACAATTTTCGCTTATGTCTCTACTAAGGAGGTGTTACAGACATTCGTCAGGTTGGATACTCTCTTATATGCGCACGTCATATGACAAGCACACACGTGTCGTATTGCATTTATTATTGTACAGAAAATAATATAATATATTATGACATTGTCAGTCTATCTGTTGCATACGCACATGTATCGATATTCCCTACCTAATGCGCCGCCACCGATAACGACTGGTATAATGAGTATAATTTTTGAATTAAATGGCTAAAATGTAAACACAAAGTAGGTATACGATACATTAATGTATAATGTAAAGAAATTAATATTTAAAACCATTAACCATATTAAATAATAGAATCTTTGCGTACACGTATTTCGGTAACAATTGTGTCATCTTCAACGCTAACGACAGACTAAACTAACGGAGGTAAGTTTAAGATTTTTGTTTTATTTTTTTTTAATTTTACAAGTGTGAAAATTAAACATGTCTATTTGGATTTTTTTTAATAATTTACAACAAATTAATATAGTATGCAAAATGACGATTATATTGAAAATGGTCATAAAAGTAGTATACATATAGTCAGGAAGCCTGTAAACCACCAAAAAAGTTATTATAAAAAAAAATATTGAATAACACGCTACTTGTCTTTAATGTAAATCATAAACGAAAATTCTACTTCATATTTGGGTGGAGATGAAAAAACACATTAGTCAATAATCTAATCTATGGATCAAAAATCGTACACAAAACGCAGTACAAAATATATTATAGGTATCCCTTACTATGCAAATGATACTTAAAAAAACAGAAAATTAATATATTATATATTTTAACAAGTCGACTTAGCTTTAGAATCATTTAAAAACCTAAAATTAAAATGAATAAATAAATTACAACGTTATCGCTTTCGCGGTAACTATAATATGCAACCATCGCTGTAGGAAAACATTTTTTAAAGAAACATTATGGAATTTTTGGGTTTATATGTTGCAAAAAAGTTTATTTTTACTGAAAACATGATGAACAGCCATGAAAATATTTACCAAAGTAATCGTCAGTTACAGCAAGCAGCATGATAGCATCACAAGTCCCCCGCGAAAATATCAGTATGACTACAGCTGTAATCGATTACCAATGTGTTCTTGGACCTGATTCTAAATACCTGATTAAAGAACTATCCGTAATTTGCATTGAAAATCTAAGTTTTGGTCATTGGATATTTAAATATTTGTCGTGCACGGCCCATGATTCAAAGTCCCGGGGGGTCAACCGGTGGCTTGAAAAACACTATCATAAAATACCACTGGACGTTGGTGACGTCAATAGCAATGACATACCGACTATACTTAAGGCTCTGCCGTTTCAAATAATTTATGTAAAGGGATTACAAAAACGAACAATCCTACTTGAGTTTCTAACAGACAAAGAAATAATCAACTTGGAGGATTTTAACTGCCCCCGAATGGACCAGTTGGCTGACACAAACGACGCATTTCCATGTTGTCTGTTTCATATTAATTCAGTTCCAAAGCAATGTACTTTTTATAGAATTTTAGCGTTACGAAAATTGTGTTTAGAAAATATCATATAATAAATGGTGGGTATCCCGTACGGTATGTAGCGCCGTTATTACCTGTACTAGTAAGGCATAGCGATTTGTAATTATATGTAAACACTAATGTAATAAACTGTATTTTATTATTATCAAACCCAATGGTAGTATTTATTATTGTTAGTATTTAATATTTACCTGACCATTATCCTTCTCCCATGTGAATCCGTAAAAAGGGTATCCTAGTTTAGCTTAAATACCGTTCGGTCGGGGTAAAATTTTGTCAGTCGTCATAAGAGTTTTCTGTTGGACAAACACACACACACAGTGTTAAAATGCAGCCGAAAACATTTATCGACAAATGCGCTTCCGTTGAAAACGAAAACCCGCTGCTATTAGAAATGTAAAAAATATTTTCATTTGGTTTCTTTAAATAGATTAAAATCAATCAAAATAAACAACCTGAGCCGTAGGGCTACCGGTGTAAGCTGTTGACTAGGACTCTGATTTCCTTAGTAACAATTCTGACCACGAGATCGGATCCGCTATGACCAACAGGTTAATTTTTGCATTTTTTTACAATTTATTTTACATTTTTTTTTTTGTAATAGTAAACAATAAAAAGCTAGCATAGTGGGGTCGGGGCATAGTATAAGATATGATTTTACGGAAATGACGGAGATGACCATGTTGTTTTTCATTTCTATACTGCGTCCAACGTTTGTCGACACAGTCGGTTGCTAATAATGCCAGTTGACTAATAAAGTTATGTCGTCCGGTTGGAACTAAAGCTTTGATCCTTTCTTGTGGTACGTAGCGGTATGACACTTGTTTCTTAATATTTACTACCATGTCATGCGGAGTTTTGCTGTCTTCATCACAATTCTCATACATATAGCATGCTAGTTTGTCTACTTGTTCCAGTAACTTTGTGCTCAGATTTTTATTTCTGTTGATCGTTTTATTAATAATGCTCTCGATATTTTTTAATTGTATAATGTTTTCTATTGTGAGCAATATTCTGCATCTTTGAACGACTTTTGATTCCACGACGAGGTTCATGTCTCCGCGGTATTTCATTCTCGACATTTTAATATTTTCATCAAGGTAAATAGCGTCTTTGGCGGAGTTTCTCAAATAATTCAACATCTCACCATTATCGTTTAAGAAAAGCCTATTTAGTGCCCTTACCGTAAGCATTATGTGTCTAGACGGTGACACGCCGACAAATTAGGTGACCGATAGATTGGATTACCGCAAAGAGCTGTCGAACGGCTGCCATTATAACATTATGGCAGTAATATATTAGCTGTGTAGATCCATCTTGCTGAAACCACGGATTGTCAAGACCACGAAGGGTGTATAGTGTTTAGAACCTTGAATTACATATTATGTACTTGACTTTTTTTAACACTGTAAGTATTGAAAATAGCTTACTATACCAATTCAAATATTTAATAAATAAAAATATAATTTTGAAAATCATTTATAATGTATTAATCTTGAATGATCAATTTTCTTTTTTCCTTTGATTTAAAGTGTAAGCTAGTGTTTACATGCACGCTACGCCCCTGAACGGCAACAAATAGTTAAAATTAAATTATATTGAGTGTCTTAAATGGATCACCATAATAATGCATTTGTTAAAAAGGGGAATGATAAAATTATGTAAGTAGCTTTACCACATTAAAAAGTACCTCAAGTTCTTCAAATTGATTATTTTTCTCTTCTATAAACTAACAAATTCTGAAGCAAAAAAAAAATAAGATGGCGGTCAATACAATGGCGTCATAAACATGGCGTCGTTGTTTTCGGCCATTTGCAATTGGTTAGCGTATTCTTTAGTCTAGGTATTTTTTTACAACATAATATTTGTAAAACTGTTTAAATATGTACACACCTTTTGCATTTAATTTGCAATGTACACTGTTCAGTAACGTTTCAACTTACTTAGAATTTATTATACCGTTGAGATTTACATGATCTCTTGTCGTGGTTCCCACAGCCTTCTGTGGAATATTTTGCTTAGACCTTTCAACAAAATTAAGCGCATTTCCAATAAAATTGATTTATTGTTATCAAACGATTTTTATATAGCATCGATTTTTTTTCATACGGATCTCTAAAATCTGTTTGTTGCATAAGTAATCCAAAAACAGACAATTACTCTATAGTTATAAAAAGTACCAATTTGTGATTTTCTTTTAATGATGTTTGGTTAATATCTAACCAGTATGCGTGGATAATTGAAGCCAAAGTTAGTTGTTGAGAGTCTTAATATATTTTTGACAAATCTTGATACTGTTAGTAGGATTCTAGGTAATTTTCTAGTTGTAATATTGTGTCGTTGATATTTTGTCTTTGTGAAACCAGCCTTCGAATCATAATTTTCACTTATTTTTACATCTATAGTATTTAACCAATATTCAAGTACAGTCGTAGCTTCAGGGCCGTATTTAGGAATTTGTCACCCAGGGGTAACAAAAAAAAAACGCCTTATTATAATATAATACAAATTTAATGCAATATAAAAAAAATTAGCCGCCCGGGGCAACAGCCCCCTGTTGTCCCCTCCTAAATACGGCCCTGCGTATATTATCTATTTTGTAAAATTATCATTTTTGTATGAATGTAATTTATATTATGTGTTGAAAAAAAATATAATTGATATTGGAAAAAAAAAACAGGACCGGTTACAATAACTAGACTAGGTACATAATAATGATAAAAATGTTTCTTTATTTACGGAGATAAAACTACATTTTGCATAATATAAAATAGTATAATAAGTAACATAGATTTAATAGTATTTGCGGTTTAATTTAAATTTGATACAAGTGGCGTGTATAAAATATTATTTTAAATGATTGTTTTATATGGATAAATTTTTAATTAAATTTACCAAAAGTGTGTATCTGTTATGGCAGAATGAACATACAGTTTAAATAAAATTATATTTAATTGACAAATAGTTAAAATACTAAACATGGTCAAATTAGGATTTATCGAATATCGTTAGTGTATCGCTAGATGTATCATCAATATTTTGTCAGAAGTATATGCACAACATAATACATTTGCAAACTTTTATTAATAGTAGTTTAACAATAATATTATACTAAATACATAATTTGACTCCTTTTAGACGATTATAGCGTGCTGTAGTTTAAATTGAGAAACTATTAAAAAATTGCAAAAAAATGGACTTTTGAAACGATTCAAATTATAAACACCTAAATAAATAGTATATTGTATTACATGTATTGAGACTGTGTGTTTTTGTAGGTATACAAGTCAAAACAATCCGACCTCTCTATGTAAGACAGTCGACATTTTAACACGCTACACCCTTTTATCGTTTTAGTATTTAAATCATAAGTCTATTGTACAAATCAGACACGATGATACCCGTTCGAATTGTTTTAGTTTCGTGTGTACTGCTAGCAGCATTATTTGGTAATACATATTAATTATACACATTTTGTTATTATAACATGAGTTAACAGAGTAGTTAGGTAAGTCTTTCCTTTAGTATAATTTAATGGTACGGTTGTAACTCATTTTACAGGTACAAATAATTGTGAAGCTAAAATAAACTATGGCGACATCGTTATTTTTTTTCAACCTGAAGAAAGTAAATATTTTGCAAATTAACAATCATACGTATCATGGTGTAAATGCCACACAACATTAAATGTATAAAACTTACTTAAATATAACTAATACAGCCTACAGATTGATTCATTAAGGATAAGACACTCATTTTCTTTTAAAAAAAAATTCAATTTTGTAGTTTTTCTCCTTAAAGACACATTGTACGTTATTTTACAATGTTAGACAATATTTAAATGCTTCTCTTATTTAGCGTTTTCATTATCAAATTTTTAAACTTATACAGTAGCATATTTATTTTTAGATTAAGAACAATTTATTGACAATGTTCACTAGGGTGGCGCAAAAAAAATCGATCTTCGAAATGTTAATGGGCTAACATTTAAATTTGTTCTATACATCAAAAAAGAGACTTGGTGAAAATTTGAGATAAAAAAAAAAAATTTTTACTGGTCGCTCAACGCGTTTTAAGTAAATTGACCAAAAATTTTCAAAAAACCCAAAAATGACTTAAATTATAACATTTTTGGTCAAAAATCCTCATTAGCACATCTAAATTGTAGTATTTTTTGCGTTGAGTACAACTGTTTGAGTTTTAAAATTCTAAGTTAAAAATTAATTACGTAATTAACAAAAATTGGCAATTAAAAGGTTAATTTTCAATTAAGCTTAAATTAACTAAAAAAAATTTTTTTTTTAATTTTTAATACTTTATTTTGTTGAGCGTTATGTATGTTTCTAGTGAAAAAAAATTTTTTTACTAATGTTAAAAACTTATACCTTTTTTTGTCATTTTTTCGTGCACCAAAATGAACGTTTTACTGAAAAATGTGTATTATGTGTCAAATAATAAAATACTTATCGTTATGAATTTTGGCTGTTATATTTGATTACAATTTATTTAATTTATATATTTTTAATTATATAAAACACAATATAAAAAATTATTTATTGCTTAAGAATGTATATGTTTCAAAAACAATTTTAATTGACAGCTCCTGAATTGAAAGGTATTCAGCAGTTCAATTTGTTTATTTAAAGAGTTTTCACCAAGTCTCTTTTTTGATGTATAGAACCAATTTAAATGTTAGCCCATTAACATTTCGAAGATCGATTTTTTTTGCGCCACCCTAATGTTCACTGTATATAAACCTGTATATATTTATTTAAATTTAATATTTTTGTAATTAAGTTTTAATAATGATTACTAACAAGTACGTATAAGTCATTTAACATTTCGATAATAAACTTGTTTTTTCATTATTAATTTTAGATAAACCAAATTGTGTGAAGTATATTGGTACAGTATTTTTTCATTTTATGTTACACACCTATTGTATTAAATAGTTTTACAATAACAGTAAAAATATTTTTTTACAGGAAATAATATAGTCTTAAAGGGTATGTTTTTTATTTTTCAACATTTATTTCATTTATAAGGTAAAAGTTAAATTTATTTTAGTTATCTGTTACTAATTTATTTAACCATAGCAAATTAAAGTACAAATATAATAGCGGATAATAGTGCTGTACAATTTCTACAATAACCAACAGTTTGTAGTTTACTTTTTTGAAAAAAAAATTTGCACGTGTTATCTTGTAATAATATGTAAATTAAAAAAATATATACTTTTTAGAATCTCCAGAGCTTTGGAACTTAAATAAATAATTATTTATTTATTTATATAATCGAATAACGTTTTTAATTAAGAACAATATGCTGAAAATGTTGAGTGATCAATTACTAGTTTTGGATAATTACTTTTAGAGTTATTAAAGTTATACATTTAGGACGTGAGGAAGGATGCAGTGAAATGTTATTTTAATTTGCTCACATTCCACCTCCTGTCTTAATTTGTTAACTTAAGAAACTTTAATAGTTATCACCCGAAACTGGTTTTCAGCAAATTATTCTTAAATTAAAAAGTTAATTGAATATATAGCGTATACATTATCATTTGAGTTTTAAAAGTTTTAAACTTTCGGGAAAATTCCATTGTTGGGTTTTAATATAAAACAATATTATAAGATCAATCTATATAAATATTATTTTATATTAAATATTTTTCTACGATAACACCAATGGGTTATGCAAGATAGTTTGCGAATCGGTAGTAGTAAATATAATACACAAACTAAAATGTATAAAACTTTGTATAACTTCTATTATCTATAATGTATTTTTTTTACACAAGAATATAACTAATAATATATATTTTGAATATTATATTTTTGTAGTAGACCTTCAAAAATATTTAATAAAAAATAAATGTAATCTGTTTTTTTAGACATTAAACTTATTTTGTTATTGTATATTTTAGATTTGCCGATTATTCGTAGTGATGGTGAAGAGTATGTGAATGGTACACACATTTTTTATTTTTTGTTAAATGAACAGCGTATTTACTATTTTTACAATACCGGTTAAATATATTTTTTTCCAGGAAATAATTTGGACCTAGGAGGTATGTTTTTTATCTATAAAATGCTAATTAAAAACTAAATGATGGTAATGCACATTAACTATTAAGAAATGTAGGTATCTTATATTTTGTCGATTGTCGGTACAATTATTATCTACATTACACACAGAGTGATTCTTTTATCATGAACCAGTCAATATCTCACTGGGTTTAATTAATAATTTAATTTTTTTGTTTTATAATTTTTTTATAAAACGTGATCACAATTTTCTTTGTTTTTACCCCCCTCCGAACTTAGTTTTTTTGATAGACATTTTTAAAACTTAAATGGTATCGAATATATTTTATTAATTTTTTAAATTGAGAATAATGTAGGTATTGAGCTTGTTGGATTATTAAATTTGATAATAATGATTGACAAGTGACAATCTCTGTAACTTGTATTTAAATTTAGTAAAATTACTGACTTGCTACACTAATACAAGTAGATTATTATTCAGTTTTATAATATTTGGGTATAATTTTGTATTGTGTATACAATCCATATTATTGAATACTAATATAATAGTCGGTATGTGTATGTTATTTTACATTTAGTGGGCACGATGATAGGAGTTATTACACCGATGTAAGTATTTACATTTTTTTAATAGTATACTAAATACTAAATTATAGAGCTAACAAGCAATAATATGCCATTAATTTGATTCCTCTAAGTTATATACGATACAAATATAATAGTGTTAATATATGTGGCGGGTGGCCATAATTTAAAAGTTTTAAACCTTGTCTGATAATAAGCTGTTTAGCTGAGAAAGTATTGAGGCCAACGGCTCTTAGAGTAATATAGAGGAGCCGTTCTGTGAAAATACTTAGTTCGATAAGTATTTCTTTATTAGAGTGCACCCGCATTAGTCGAAAGCTACTTTTATACAGCTATGTACTGTGGTTTACACTAAAATATGTTCCTAAGTTTATTTCGTCTATCGCTACCAAATTAGTCAAAAAATTCAATTACACTTTTGAATTCTTAATGGTGTTAAAAAGCGTATTATTCACGAGTATTGTAGACAATACAGTGACAACAGTACAATATTTTGTTAAGGTAAATTGATTTCTGTTTTATAGAAAACAGATTCATTACAAAATAATGAAGTCGTGAAAAGAAATTATTTAAATATTTAAAAATATATATCAACGAATTTATAAATGTGTTCCAGGCACTCGGCTTACAAATATTTCAAAAATAAAGCTTTGAAAACCGGATATTATGACTATACAGACTCGTTAGCAATCTTTGAAATTTATCAAAACGACAAAAAAATACAGGAAGAAAATCAAAAATTAATAGAAAATTTAAAGCGTTTACGGATTTTTGATGGTGATAATAATGAAAATAGAAGAAATAAAGGAAAAAATATAATGATGGATGATTGAATTTTGTATATAATACATTATTACACAGTATTTATTAAATCGTATAATATTACTATATGTAATATATAATATTACTATATCATACTGTAATAATGTATTACTAATCTATATTATTTTATGTAGGTACTTCAATCCAAATGTTTTACACATATTTTAATCTTGTTTATTCGTTTATTTTATGCACCCATATACTAATAATGCACAATAATTGTATTGTTATCAATTAAATAGTTTTAGATAATATTATTATTGTATTATCTTAATTAATAAATTAAATAAAACAATGCGCCCCTCATACATTGAATCTTAAAGGCAATGTTATAGCATGTACAATGTTCATTGTACATATTCCAAACTAGGTAATAACACTTTTCCTAGAACTAGAAAATAATATACACACAGATTTGTTTATAAATTGTTTGTATTAAATTAAGTTTTCACATTATATCTCACACAAGATAAACGCCTTCTAAAGATTAAGAGTGGTTGGGTGCCATAAAACATATCAAAATAACTCTTCCAGAACTACAGAGGTACATTTTTTACTCCGCGTGTAAAAAGTGTAATTCAATGTCGTCATTGCATGTAACTGTAAATTAATTGAATCAATCCAATCGAATCCGCCTTGGATTAATCTACAGAACTTTCCCAATCTAATTAACTTTATAATATGAACGATACTGTTTATTTTTCTCCAATACAAATGTTTAACTGCACATTTTTGAAAAGACATTTTAATTCTTTATATACACACTGGTAGAATCACATTGAGTCTAATTCGTCGTTTTTAAGTTCAAAGACTATACTAATAGAGAGAAATAAATCAAAAGTTTCCAAAGACCCGGGGAAAGAATTTTTTATGTTTTTTTTGGTTTGCCAAATTATAATACTAATATTAGCTGACAGGCGACCAGGTAGGTCACAGATTCCGAGTGGATTGTGGAGATCAGTGTCTAGCCATTAGTCTAGTTATCAGTCCTAGTTATAGCTCCTAATCTGTTCAGAAATAACCGTCTATGTCAGTAATCGATACTGACTTACTATATATTTACAATTTAATCATCAGAGGTACACGCGGCATGGTGCATTTAAGGTGTATACTTAAGGTCTGGTAGCTTAACAGAAATTCAAAACAGAACTCAAAAGAGTAAAGAACATGAATGAAATGTCTAGAGGTCAATTTGTATATATTGAAACTTAAAAGAGAAAGAAGTAAAGAGTGATAAGAACATTCTTTTTATTTTTTTATTATTTCTTAAATTAAAATTTCTCGGTGCAAATCATTTAAATTTTTAGATCTGGACAATTATTGTATAGTAATAATAATAATATTTAATGCATAAACGTATAAACGTATTACTTACTTATCCACAGCCATATGTTTATATCATAGATAAATTGATATACATTCATATTTATTTTCCTATTGTTTTAAGTTAACCACAAAGGTAAAAATCCATGAATTGATATTTTGTTTTTTTGATGAAAATAATTAAAAAAATAAAATAATGCCAAGTTAGAAAAAAGGTCAAATAATGTATCAATTTAAAAAAAAACTATAGTTGTAACTTTTATACTATGCAGTGATAATAATAATTGTAGACAGCTTAAATAAAATAAGGTGAAATAAGTAATGTTTTAATTATTTATAATACCAATAGTCTTGGTTTAGGATCCAATTAATTTACAATCATAGACAACTTAAGTATACATAAAAGAAATTATCCAAATAAAAATGTGATATCTATATCATTGTCATTGTATTAACTAATTAATTGGCACTTAAATTTAACCTCAATAAAAAAAAATTGGATGCCTAAATTTTTTTTTTTTAATGTTATCGATAAATATACAGGAGAATTTTCGACATATACTTCTATTTAGTTTAAACGAGTACGCCTATTATTTAAAAAAAAGATTTAGTATGTAGATTGAAATATTTATAATGTATATACTATAACTTGGCCTTCGAGATTCAATGTACGAGGGACATAGTTTCATAAAATAAAATACCTATGATAATAATAAAAATATATCATTATTCATAATGATAGAATAATAATTGTGGATTATGAGTATGCGAGTGCATGACATATTATAATGGAAAGAAATATAAACTATAATAATACAAATTGTCATAGTGATAATAGATCTTTATTGTACTCATTTTAAATAATACAATTTTATAGTATACAATAATTTCCCATGTTCATTGAGCTATTAATATTTTTTTATTTCTTTTATCATTACCTTCATTTTTATCATCATTTTTCGATATATCCTCATCACTATAACCAGTTAGCATACTCACATAATCCAATAATATATAATCGTCTGTAAATTTATCTATTTTCGCTTGATAAAGATCATATATCTCAAATGCGATATCATAATCATACGTTCCATCTTCCTTGGCCTTATCTGCATAGTACTGGTACTTCTCGTGCCTGGAATACATTTTAAAAATGCCTAGATATTTTGTTATATACGTTCTTCTAATTTATTTTCTTACCATGCGCCATGGCTTAATAGTTTAGTAATATATCTGATTTTATAATGTAATAATTAATTAAGTTTAACGAAATTGTCGAATGTCATTGTATTAACCATTTAGATTTTCTCTTACAGGAGCACTTCTTTTTAAATTATTAATGACTTACAGTTTAAATGTTAAGTTTAAATTGTAATTGTCTAAATAAATACATAAGAACTTCTTTGAAGTATTAAAGACAAAACAGTCTATTTTTAATTGACAAACATAAAATTCAAATCAAAATTTAGGGATTCTGTATGTAAATTAAAAAAATAAGTTTAAATTAGTTTTAAATTAGTTAAGGCATAATAATAAGAAAACATATATTTAATATTATTCATGCAAGTACTACAAGTACCTAATATTCAATAGCGCATAATTAATTATATAATTTAGAGTAATAAATGAATGACGTCTTGTGGGTTATTACTTTAATACTTATTGAAGTATAATTTAAAAAAATATAGTTACTTACTTCGGTGACATATATGTCATCAGCTCACCAACTAAAGGTAACATACAAATACATACCGACTATAATGTTTGTACTTAAATAATATGGATTGTACCCTAATGTTATAAAATTGAATTTTTATTTACACGAATTTGTATAGTATGTTAGTAATTTTACCAAATTAAAATAAAAGTTATACAGAATGATACTTGTCAGCCATTATTGTTCAATTATTAGAAACCAAAATCAAACATAGAATATAAACAATTTTTTTACAAAAGGCACACTCTTCAATATTTTAAGAATAAGTTAGCTAAAACTTTTTTTTTAAATTTAGTATTTTATAGAAAAAATAAGTATTGTATAATGAAAACACATACCTCCTAGATCCAAGTTATGTCCTGTAAGAAAATTATTATTTTACTGTTATTTTAATAGTAGTAGTTAATACAATAGGCATTACAAATAAAATAAGAAAATGGTATACCATTATACTTTACACAACTCGGTTCATCTAAAATTAATAATAACAAAATAAGTTTATTATCAGAATTTATAATTAAATTTATTTGTTAGTGGTTGTTTGTGAATCTCAATTTCTCTAAGTATCGGTGTGCAACATACATGATCATATTATAATATAGAATTTGTATATGACTTCTACAAAGTTTTATACATATTGGGTTTTGCGATATTTAAGTTATGGAAGGTAATTAGTAATTTACAAAATAATTACTTGTTTCTGGGGTAACAAAAATAGCAATGTCACCAACTTTTACTTTGATTTTACAATCATTTGTACCTATAAAATGGAATGCGTAACACGACATTAATATATACAATAAAAATACTTTTTACCTTACTATTCAAATTATAATAAAACAAATCTGTAAATAATGCATATTACCAAAAAAGGTTAACAGCAGTACACACAAAACGAAATCCATTTGAACGGATATCGTGTCGTTTAGTTTATACAGTGGATTTACAATTGGAACATCTGAATAAAGGAAGATCTTTATCTTGTCGGATTGTTTTCCTTATATAGCTATAAAACTTACGAATTTTCATAGTCTCGAAATAGATAATTAAAATGTATATTTACTTAGGTGTTTACTATTTAAATATTTTAATCGATTCAAACCCTACTTTATTGCAATCAAATCATAGTTTTATAAAAAAGTGTGTATGAGTGTTATACTACGTATTGAACTGAAATTTAAATTGTTATACATGTAATATTACAAAATATGTGTGATATATTAAGTTTAGATTAATACCCTTATAAATTCTGTAAAATATTCAAGAGTATCAATCAAGAGGATCATTACTAGAATATGCAACGATAATTTGGGAAAACAATAGCATTGGTCATATAATAACCAACTAGAAAAAATTCAAAATAAAGTCCTTCGCTTTATTTGCTATAAATGTAATATATAGCTAGAACTCCCCACACTGGTTATGAGAACATCCTAGAAATCTTAAAACTTGATTCTCTACAAACGCGTAGAATTACTGCATATAAATATTTTCTTTTCAAACTACTAAATAATGTAATTGATGATTCTTTTTTATTAAACCATCACAACACTCGAAATAATAATTTATTTTATATTCATCAATTTTCTCAAAGCTACATATTCTTTAATCATCCGATAAATATTTTAATGTTCCATGGCAATAATCTTGAATCTATATATATATATATATGGATCTATTTTATAATCTAGTTCCTAAGTTTATTAATGTATATGTTATCTACTTTAAGTTGTTCTATATTGTTATCTATATCACTATATTGAAAGTGGATATTTGTCCGCGAAAAAATAATAATAAATAAATAAATACTGTTGACGAAGAGTGAAATTCAGAAATAAGTGTGTGCCGAAATAAATTACTCTAAAGGCTATAATTACTCTTATATTCTTCGACAATAAAGATTGTCATACATTTTTGTATGTTATTCTCAATCGAGCGTTTAGATATTTCATAGGAAAAATGCAGTAAATTAATATTTTAATATACCTAAGTATATTATTCCTTTTTTTTTTGAATACTCCAAATTAAATAATATTAATGTGAGTGTGTGTGTGTACTATATAATAGAAAGCCTCTATTAAAATGAAAAAATTAACGATTTTTTAAAATTAATTTCGTTTAATAGACGAGTTTGATGATAATTTCGTTATTTGACAACGAATTCGCAAACTCGGCGGCTGTATATTATAATGCAACACGTAGACGCCAGAAGGTGTATATTTATACAGCACACATATGTTACATAAAAATATATTATTTATAATAAACCAGCAATTGATTTCCTGTACAAATGTTTAAATTATAGTACAGCACTGAAAGGTAGGGGTATTGTGGAGACGGAGCATATATTGCATTCGCAGGCACGTGTCAGGTCTTCAGGAATATTTATTTACTTTAATGTAATAAAATTAATCACAAATAAACGCTTCAATGACATTCGGTTACCGTTTTTAATTGCCGATTCACTCACACATATCAAAATAGAAATTTGCTACGGTCAAAGAGTGTAATTTCGTTCTTTTTTCCAGTTTTTATTGATAAAAAAAAAAGCGATGACAGATTTGTATGAGATCTCATCAATCTTATGCGATCTTATTTGATAATCATATCAAATCATAAAACTCAGTAAAACCTCGTTTTAGATCTAGCTTTGATCCTTGTGAAAACTTGAATCAAAAAAGAGAAATAAAATAAGCATATAGATAAATGTAACTTAGTTTTCTATGTGCCTACATATTAACGTTAGTAAAATTGACAAACCTACTTTTTATTATTTATAAATATCAGATATAACATAGACGATTTTTTTATGAAAAACAAAAACCCACGTTTAAATTAAAAAAAAATTGTGTGGGTCTCGGGACCCGCGACAGAAGTGAAACTTCATCAAAACGGTGTGTTACTGAACTCGGTGTTATAAAAATTGTGTAATAAAAGATAAGCTAATGTAGATTTATTGTCAAAGAATAAACTAAACGACTTTTTTTGTTTATTTAAAAAAAAAATTATGTAACATACAACTGAATTATATTCAGTTATTATATTATAAGTAATTAACTATCATATAATAGTTGCAAATCGTCAGCCACATCAATTACCCAAAGCGGTGCTGGTTCCCTAAGATATTTTTTTAGCATGGACATATAGTCGGGAAGCCTGTAAACCACCAAAAAAGTTATTATAAAAAAAAATATTGAATAACACGCTACTTGTCTTTAATGTAAATCATAAACGAAAATTCTACTTCATATTTGGGTGGAGATGAAAAAACACATTAGTCAATAATCTAATCTATGGATCAAAAATCGTACACAAAACGCAATACAAAATATATTATAGGTATCCCTTACTATGCAAATAATACTTAAAAAAACAGAAAATTAATATATTATATATTTTAACAAGTCGACTTAGCTTTAGAATCATTTAAAAACCTAAAATTAAAATGAATAAATAAATTACAACGTTATCGCTTTCGCGGTAACTATAATATGCAACCATCGCTGTAGGAAAACATTTTTTAAAGAAACATTATGGAATTTTTGGGTTTATATGTTGCAAAAAAGTTTATTTTTACTGAAAACATGATGAACAGCCATGAAAATTATTTTATTATATTTTTTAACAAGTTGACTTAGCTTTAGAATCATTTAAAAACCTAAAATTAAAATGAATAAATAAATACAAACAAATTATTTAAACACAATTTATTTACAACAAATAATAATAGAAGAGAGGACAACACAATATTAAAATTATACAATAAATACAAATATATTAACAGGTTATACAGGGTGTCCCATTTTAAAATACTAATCGATTTTTCTCTAAAAATACTGATCCAATCAAATAGTTGCTTATTAGAGACATTTAGAGTATAAAGGGAAACGTTATAAAAATTTAAAAAATAGGTTCCAAAATTCAAAATGGCCGACTTACGGTCAAAAATATGTTTTTTTTTAATGGAAACCATGTATTTTTTGTTAACCAAACAAATGTTCTTATCAAAACTAACAACTTTTGTAGGAAAATTTTTTCGAAAAACCTATCATTTAAATGGTAAAACCCATAATTTGTTAATTAAGTATCTTTAGCTAATTTTAGTTTTGTTATTTTATTTTGATGCATATTGTGACCTTGTCATGTGTAGTAACCTTGGTATGTGTGATAACCATAGTTTTTGTCTTTGTGATATACAGAAAAGAGGATAACGTTAACGATAAAGATAATAATAATGTAATGGTAAGGTTAGGTTAGATACCACGGTTACCACACATACCGTGGTTACAACACAAACCAAGGTTTCCACTCATACCGAGTTATCACACATACCATAGTTACCTCACATGACAAGGTTACCATATGCATAAAAATAAAATATCATAACTAAAAATAGCTAAAGATACTTAATTTACAAATTATGGGTTTTACCATTTAAATGATGGGTTATTCGAAAACATTTTCCTACAAAAGTTGTTAGCTTTGATAAAAACATTTGTTTGGTTAGCAAAAAATACATGGTTTCGGTTTAAAAAAAACATATTTTTGACCGTAAGTCGGCCATTTTGAATTTTGGACCCTATTTTTTATTTTTTTATAACGTCTCTCTTTATACTCTAAAAGTCTTTAATAAGCAACTATTTGATTAGATCAGTATTTTTAGAGAAAAATCGATCAGTATTTTAAAATGGGACACCCTGTATAGGTTTTACAGTTTAGAATGGTTAACAGGATTATGATATCTATCGCCGAAGTCGAATGCTAGGGTGACGGCCGTATAAAAATTCTCCTGGAAAATAAATTACAATTAAAAAAGTGTGATTTATTAGAGAATAATGTACAATTTATAATTAAAACTATTCGAACTGATATTATAATTAGGATAATTCAGTAAAACTATATTAGATAACTCTTTTTGATATTCAATGAAATTGAGAAACAAAAGTTTTCCCAATGAGTGAAACGACACTAGAACCCTATAAAAAAATTATTGTGCATTTGAAGCATAAAGTTTTGGGGTAATAATAGTAATATAATCAATTTTAAATAAACGCTTAGATGCGTGGATGTAAAACGTTTCTACTAGACAACCTAAAAAACACACACGTGATTTCTAGTGTTCATTAAGAAAAGGGAGCAGGATGTATAAATCACACGAATAAACATTTCGAGTAAATTACTAAAATAACCGATAGAATAAATATGTGTAGTATAAACTAGTACGTAAAAAGAGTGAATGAGTTTACAAATCGACCATCAAGTGTGACACATGATAGCTAAACAAATTAAGTAGGTAAAAGAGTAAATTAATCGAGTTAAAACAAAAACACCATGTTTTTTGACAATTTCCAAACAATTTTGTTTTTTTCAACAAAATGTTCTGTTTTTTAAGAACAAAACCTTGTCCCGTTTGTGGTGGGAAATTTTATAGATGTTTTTGTTTTCATGAACACTATTTAGCTCGGTGTGGATACAAAATCGTGTTTAAATATTAATTTTTAAATGTAATTAAATATTAATGTGTTAAAAAATAAAAACAAATTATGTTAATTACTTGTTTATATTATATGCCAATGTCATCATCCCGTAAATCTTTTAAAAGTTCATTGATTCATATACATTTTTTTTTTTTTGTAACGTTGGTTCTACCCAAAAAGTCTTTTATTTATTTTGAACATTTAAATAAACATATCCAGCACCTAACATTAAGTATATCTTCGATATCTCTATTCAGTTTCCACATTAATATTTTAATTATTTAAACAATTTAACTAATTAAAATAAAAACGAACGAACCAAGAACCGAAAAGATAGCACTTCGGAAGCAGACTAAACGACTGTGAACGGTCGTTAATTACGAGTCAATTAAACATAGTACCTAGTCTATTATATGGCGGTTCTGGCACTCAAAGGAAGTCGCTACCTATAGTTATAATTAAAATTTTAAATTCCATTGTTATCACGGGTAAACTATCATATGTATTGTCATAGGTTAGTAATCTATACATATAAAATTTGTGACATCATTACTCATCATGATGCAACGCGACTCAACCGTTACCCCCTAAATCTGTGAAACCTATTTGTGAAATTGAACTATTTTTTCAACCCCTTAAGTTACCTTTGGATTGTAAAATAAAATATTTTGAATTAGACGCTAGTATCTTTCACAAATTACTTTTTTAAAATTCTTGGTTATACATTACCAGGGAAGAACATATTGTATTAACTTGTGACGAAAACATAGAAACCAGTAACACCCGTGTCCGTGGGGTAGGATTAATACGTACACCAAATATAATTAATGAGAATAACGATTATATTGACTTTGTACCACAAATCAACACTACTAACACTAATTATACGGATACGTTAAATATTTTAAATGTAAACAAACTATTGACAGACCTAACTAACAAACTTAATGATGTAAAACGTATATCTGAATCATTATTAAATGTCCCTGATAAACTTAATCAGAAATATTTTCAAGACAATGTAATAACTATTAACTAATACTAGAAGACATGACATGTTGTTATACACCATTTGTACAACAATCATAGTTTATTGTTTGTATTTTGTGTCAACCCTTGTAACGAGACTTGTCCCATGTAATAACAGTATATACAATTTTTGTTCCGAGTCTGTTACTAGGCGCCAACCAATACTGACGAAGTTGGTCAACCACTTTCTACAATGGACCATGTCAATTATGAAGATGTTGAACTTCAACCAAGAGCGACAACTCACCATACCACAACCAGAGACACTTTACACTATCCATCCCTATACTAAAGAGGACGTCCGACAGCGCATGCATGGACATTTAGCTGTAATCACTCTTTGTTTGGACTTAGAAGCTATTATACTATTACGTCTCTGCGTTCTACATATGACTTCATCCAGGGACACTCTATAGTCTAGTTATGTGTCCAACTATCACCGTCCGGGGCCAACCGACTACTATAAGTATCCACAGCAAACAGGGCCAATTCGTCAGACGTCGTCCAGTCTTTACAGTACAACGTCCTGCTATTACGTGACCTATTATGTCATACACTTTACTATTTATATTAGATTGTCTTGTTAATCTTTTCATAGTTGAGAGGGCATCGCACCGGTGATTTTCAGTGGTAAAAACATGTTTAAGCAGACTGAAAACAACTCGCTTAATTTTGGTTTTAGAGTAAAAGCATCTATTATAAAATTAAAAAGAACAATATTCCGGAGGGCAAGAGGGTGCGTTTATAAAAAAAAATTAATTTTTTGGAAAGTTACAGTCATTTAAAAATGTTAAAATAGTCGTTAGTTCTAAACTATGTATTGAGCGTTATACTTAGAATAATGAAAAAAGCGCACCGTCTTGCCCTCCGAAATATTGTTCTCTTTTCATTTTATAATGGGTGCTTTTACTCCAAATCCAAAATTAAACGAGTTATTTTCAGGCTGATTAAACATGTAGAGATGAAAAAACATGTTTAAATCGCTTTCAAGGATGCTGTGATAGTCCGAAAAATAAATTAACTACCAAAATAGAGTCCTAGTTATTGAACTTATAATTACAAATCACAGTTTAACCTTTAAATTAAGATTTTGTAAAAAATTGCCTATACTTTACTCCTTAAAAATGGGCGGTGCGAGGCCCTCTTAACAGTTATTACTAACTTTGTTGTTAACTTCTGTTCCGCCTACCCTATTCCATCGTCAGACGGCCTCCAGGCATAACAATGGCATTTGTAGGATCTTCGAATATCGGCAGACATTTAACTGAACAACCATTCAACTCCTTTATATGCGGATGAAGTCACGGCAGTAAGGACAGTGAGCTTTGTCATGACCACAACGCCGTCACTCGCGGATGCTACAGCAGAGGCTAAAGTATTACTAATGATAAAATTCATGGCGTCTTCTTTCTTCCATTTGGCCGTCAACCATTCTTGTACCACCACATTCACAACTAGCCATTTTGTTGAGAAGCTAACATGGTCATACATCGCGTCCTGCAAGTTAAATTACAATTAAAAAAGTGTGACTGTATTAACGTTATAACGGCTATCGACTAAGCTCGACGCGTTACTAATTGAATCCATTGTCGTCCGTTGTAGCATATTATGAAAAAAATACTAACTGTTATAAACATTACATTTTTTTTTTTTGTTTTCGAACAATAATAATGGTATTTTCACTCACAAACAACATTTTCACGATAACAGGCCCATCTTTCCGAATCCCCATTGTAAATAATTAATAACACAAATCAATAAGAAAACAAATGTTATTAAAGCACAATGGAAAACGCGATGGATTAAACAGAAATGTTTATCGAACACAAAATAGTTTATATAACACAAAAATTAATTTATGTAACAACTATAAAAATAGTATGTATAATTATTTACTAATAAATTGTTATGAGTGGTTGGCATGGCGTTGGCACACATTTCTTTTTAACCAAATAGTAGTTAACCTGGGAGGGAACTGTTTACACACTACATCCTTCATATTTGGCAAACCTAAATCAAAACTGTAACAACTCAAAAACTGAGTATTTTTTTATTTTAACATTTTTAAATGACTGTAACTTTTCAAAAAATGATTTTTTTTTTTTTTAACGCACCGTCTTGCCCTCCGGAATATTGTTTTCTTTTAATTTTATAATGGGTGCTTTTACTCTAAAACCAAAATTAAGCGAGTTATTTTCAGTCTGTTTAAACATGTTTTTACCACTGAAAATCACCGGTGCGACGTCCTCTTAATCTTTCCTTTCAAATAGAGAAAACTCGAACACGGTAAAGTGTAACTGTCCATATTACGCACTTCAAACCGTATTTCATCATTATTATCCAAAGCCGTTGACGAGTAAGGTAAAAATGAGTGATATTGTATCCTTTAATAATCCTCCTATGTGAATCCGTAAAAAGGGTGTCCTAGTTTAGCTTAAATTCCGTTCGGTCGGGGTAAAATTTTATCAGCTGTCACAAGAGTTTTCTGTTGGACAAACACACACAGTGTTAAAATGCAGCCGAAAACATTTATCGACAAATGCGCTTCCGTTGAAAAAGAAAACCCGCTGCCATTAGAAATGTAAAAAATATACCACAAAGGGATGATTTATCACCCATTTTGTTTTTATTGTTTGTTAATGAAATCCCAAATATTTTTAACCATTGCAAATGTCTAATGTTTGCGGATGACCTAAAAATATACTCGGAAATTACATCTGAGGCTGACTGTTTTAAACTCCAGGATGATTTAAATAAATTTGTAACCTGGTGCATGTATAATGTATGAAATAATAATTTTCCCGTTGCCATAACCCTACTTCAGCCCAATACTTTATTAATGACAGAGTTTTACATAATGTTACACAGCTGAAAGACCTTGGTGTTTATTTTTCCAATGATTTATCATTTAATCAGCATGTTAAAAATATCAAATTAAAAGCTTTAAAAACATTAGGTTTCATTAGGAGAAATTGTTATAATTTTTCAAGTTTAATGTGCATCAGAACTCTGTATATTAGTTTAGTTCGTTCAATTTTAGAGTATGCCTCCATACTGTGGAATCCAGTCCAAAGTGGACATACTGACGACTTAGAACGTGCCCAAGACTGTTTTTTGCGTACAGTAAGCTATAAATTTAATATGCAAACTGAGCATAGAAATTCAATTCTGTCTTTATTAAATCTCGATACGCTCGCATACGACGTAATCTAAATGATTTACTTTTTATTCACAAGTTGTTTAACAATGTTATTGATAGTCCTGAACTCCTGAGTAAATTTGCATTTTATATTCCTTCCTTCAATTCTCGCTCGCGTCCAACCTTCCATGTAAGTTTCCACCGCCAAAATTATAGTTTTTTTCACCCCTATTAACCGTATTTGTATTGCTTACAACAACTTACCTCCCTCTTTTGATATCTTTCATGACTCCTTTCTTCATTTAAAATTGGCTTTAACCCATAACTGATTTAGGCCCATTTATACTTAATCATTTAATTAATGTCTTCTTTATATTTTGTTTGGTAACGTTTATTATAAAAATTGTGTTATTTTCTTTTATTGGTACCGTTTATAATTCTTAATTTGTAATTTATTTATTTGTATGCTACACTATTGCCTTCGGGGCGTTAAATATATATTATTATTATTATACTCATTTGGTTTCTTTAAATAGATTAAAATCAATCAAAATAAACAACCTGAGCCGTAGGGCTACCGGTGTAAGCTGTTGACTAGGACTCTGATTTCCTTAGTAACAATTCTGACCACGAGATCGGATCCGCTATGACCAACAGGTTAATTTTTGCATTTTTTTACAATTTATTTTACATTTTTTTTTTTAATAGTAAACAATAAACAGACTAAACGTTAGTTAACAATAAACCCTGTTGAGTAAATTGAAATGTTTACAATTAACATAGTAATATTGTTTAATATACAATATAGGGGTTTTAATATAAATATAATATTTTCTACAAAGTCACTCTGTTATTATTTTTATTTGTTTATACATTTTTTTGCTATTACTCCGTTATAATACGCGGTGTCGGCCGCACAACATACACAAATAATAATCGTGCATTATAAATATTGTAACCCTTCGGGTGGCTGTTTGTCGTACTACATTTATTTTTTGTGAGAACATTTAGTTCAACTATTTACCGTGAAATCAAGTAAAAAAACTTGAATATAATATCTACTTTGCCCGGCGTTCGGCAACAACAGCTGGTGGTAGATTTCAGTAGACCGCCGCAAAGACGCTGTAATGGTAGAAAACTACCGCGATAGCGGTACAAGATAAAGACTGGGTTTTTTTTAACGTCATTGGCCGTACATATGCCGTCTGTAGCTGCTGGCAGCGGCGAGCTGATAAGACATTTTCTCTTCCATAATTTTTTGCGTTGCGCAGTAAAAAGAAACGTGCCGGGTTGCCGAACACGCAGTTGGTGTCGTTTTTGCGTTCCCAAAGTCACATGGTCACCCGACGAAAATCATATTTTTCTATTTTATTGTAGTATATAGTTTTTAACTTAATTTACAAATTTGTTTTATCCGTTTTTAATTTAAATGTTGTAATTTTTATCGTCGTCGGTGAACACAAATATCAGTGGATTTCGACATCTTGCTGTAATTGTCCAGAAAAAACACGGGAACATTTCTCGAAAAGTATGGTTTAATTTTTTAGCAAGTGTTACTAAAAGTATTCCGGTCGAGAATTTCGTGTTTAAACTCTCATCGTTCTACGCAAAACATGTCGGAGTAAAGCCGTACGGTATAGCCGATAAATTCGGTGTTTTTTTTTTTTTTTTAAACATTCATTATGAACAAACCGGTCACACCGACAGTTGCCATGTCTTCGAAAAACGTGTACAATAAAGAGAACATACGGACCAAAAAGCATGTACCCAACGAAGAAGACAACGTCACAAGTAAAGCCGTACCGAATGAAGACAAACTGCACGAACTGAACAAGTGCGAAGAAGGCAGCGAAAACGAATATGTGGCTGACAAAAAAAAATTTGTCGAAGCACCATTACCAAAAACCAATCCGTGGACTGCCAATATTAACGCTGCAAACGTAGTTCGTCCTAAAGAAGTCGGCAAAGAAAAAGACCCGGTGGTCGGCGAAAAACGGATCTTGCAACCGCAGCAACAAGCTTTATGTAAGTGTGTTTTTAATTTTTACAACTCCAACTTGCCTCGTTTTACTACTTTGGTATTAATTAGGGAAATTAGTAGGTGTAGCTTAAAAAAAAATTCCTTTTTTTTAAAGGGATTTATTCTTATTGAAAATACCTATTTTTTTTTTTTTTGTAATACTTATTAATAAAAATAAAATACCAGACCCTGATTTATGTCGAAAAAGTCGAGAATTAAAATTAGTAGGATCTGTCCTAATAATAAGAATAATCAAATTTTTGTAACATTCCTAATTGTTACAACAACAGGTAGACTGACACACGGTGTATTAATATTGTGTCTCTTATTTATAAAAAATATTTGGCTCAACAATAGACAATAAGGAAATTATAGACAATTTTTTTCAGTCATAATTAAAAAACTAAACTTTGGTGTAGACTCGTATTTAGTAGTTAATATATTTTTCAGTGTTTTAGAGCAAAAACGCCTATTATAAAATCGAAAAATTACATTTTGGAGACAATGTCATATCAAATTTTAAAAATAATAATGTAAAAAAAATTATAGTTATTTTAAAAAAGTAATTAAAAATAAACATGATTGTAAATATAAGGTTTATCGAAAAGAGAATATGACATTGTCTTCAAAATCTTGTCATCTTTCGTTTTCATTGTAAGTATTTTTGCTCTATAAAAAAAAAACCACGAAGCGAGTAAAACACATTCTGTGTAACGTCCTCTTACGGGCTCAATTTAAATACTATAGATTTATTCTTAAGTTAGTTACAGGTGTTTAATTTTACTTTGGTGCCTATTAATATGTTATAGTAAATGTAAAATGTAGTGCTATAATAAGTTAATAATAAAACAATTTGTTTTTATATTTTATCCTTTACGCTATGTCATCATTTTATTTCAGTCTATTGTTAATATTAGTGGTTTTAATGCTGTGTAGTGCACCGTGCCTATGTTATTGGAATTATTAATTGTGTCAATTATTATATGTCTTAATCTTAGTTTTTGTATTGACAACTTTTTTTCATATAATTTTTATTAGAAAATACTTGTTTAAAACTATGTATACAAATTTTAATCATAAAACTTGTAAAATAGATTTGCAAATTCAATTCAGTATGCAATTAAATAATGTATTTAAGTGCCAATTGGTTTTTGCTATATAAAATGAATGGTTTCGCTAACACTGCTCCAGAGTTAATAGCTCGAATGAGTCGAGTTTGATAGTAGCTTTTCGACAATAAAACTATAGTAAATATTATATATGTATATGTTAATTATCAATCGGTAATCAACGATTAATTATTACATAAGAGAGTCATAATATTTAAGTTTTGAAATTTTACTAAGCAAATTTAAAATAAAAAAAAATTGTTTAGTATGCCTGTCATTTTGTAGGTTTTCGACTTGATAAAATATATTTTATTAGTAATAATTAATTCTTGTGTACTGTCCAACAGTTACAAACAACATTTTTAATGTAGTTGATAGAAATGCAACTTAAAAGAGTTTATTTTCTTAAATTTATGTGTGTACAATCAGAAATAAATCTCATGAGGTGTGTATTTATATTTATAGTAGTAAGCGATTAACATATAGGTAAATTTGGGTAGGTGAAGTTTAATATTTTTTAACATCTACTTCATAGTACTGGTTATTTATAATTATCAGTATATATTAGTTTTCCATTAAAAAAAAACATGAAAAATCAAAAAATCAGAGAACTATATTATATACTTTTTTTCCAACACAAATACAAACATTCTATAGTAAAAATGTATTAAGAGGCAGTACAGTGGTAAATTCAGATAACACTCGTACCTAAAGTCAAGCTTTGTTTTGTCGCTGCTTGGTCATGAACGAATGGCTACCGGGGATGCCAAGTTTTATACCGCAAAGATATCCTACCGACAAGCTGAGACTTTTGATTAAAATGTATTACTGAGCTATGAATATATAGGTTAGGACAACGAGAAATGCAATTTATATTCCATAATCTAACCGAAAAGAGCATACAACGTCTGACAATTTTATTGTATAGTACATTAAACAAGAAATTACATACAAATTGTGTATTAATTATAACAATGCATTTTGAAAAAATATAATTGCAAATTCCTATTAGATATGCATTTAAATTATGTACGTAATTAAGTGTCCAAAGATTTTTGCTATATAAAATGAATGGTTTCGCTAACGCTGCTCCAGAGTTAATAGCTCGAATGAGTCGAGTTTGATAGTAGCCTTTCAACAACGATATTATAGTCTGTAATTTTTAATGATTTTACTATAGTATAGAAATGAGCTTTTCCTTTTCTCGTACAATGAATAAAGGAAATTAACTATCAGTAGGTAATTAAAATGTTTGTACATTTTTAATAGTTAAAAATATTGGTCTTAATTCTTAAGGCTTAGGAAAACTTAATTAATACATTAATTTGAAAATAAAAAAATTTTAATGTAAACAGTTTAAAAAAAATGACTGTACTTTTAACTTGGGATCATAGAATAATGAATTATTATGGTTTATTTTCATATTTCAACTGAGCATATATTTTTATTGCCACGTATTATTATAGCTTATTTCATTAGCTTTAAAAAAAAATTGGCAATAATATAACTATCGTGTTTTAGATGACTATTGGAAGTAAAATGTATTAAGTGTTCACTTGCATAATTATTTTACAACTCGATCATAGTTGTTCAATGACCAATGTCATCAGATGATACATTGCTACCTACATTCGTATCTTACATTAATGAGCTGCTTATTATAATATAACTGTTATTATATGTTATGTTTATTATTAGTTAAAAAAAAAATATGACCATCTATATCAAACCAATAATATATAGTTTTTCCTATGGTTCGATATAGTGGTGTGATGATTAAATGTAACTGCTGATTCACTAATCAGCAGTTTTGCGGGAGATAACCACTTGAGTAAACAGCACATACGTCATAACAAATCAATTATTATGCCTGCTCAAATAATTAAGTGCTAGAGATATTGATTTATTATCGTTTGTTTAATTAAATTCGTGTTTTGAGTCCCGGTAGGTATTTAAGTATGGTTATTATATGTAGCAGGTGGTAAAATAATGTATATATGTTTGTAGGAAAACTTTTTATGCTGCCGAGAATAAAATAGTTATCATTTTTAAATTTCTTCGGTATTGAATAATAATTTTTTTTTTCTTGAATTGCGTTAAAAGAATACATTTTTAATAATTAACATTGAACTGTTTAGTACAGTAAATAAATTGTTAATTATAATACGTCCGATCCTCTTAAATAAGCCAATCGTTACATTATAAACTCCTATATCCCCGCCTACTAGCTAAGACGATTGCACCTACTGACCTATTTATAATCAAGAAGGAATCTTCAGCGCTTCATGGAAACCGACTTGCGGTCTTCTCAAGGTCAACCCTTATCACTCGACTCTACAGTTCATTGTAAGGACTACTAATTCCTTTTTAGTGAATTATTTGAGTATATATCCTTATTTTGTTTTCAGTTAGCTAAAAAGTGAATTGTAACACTTTTTAAAAAAAAACTTTATAGATAGTAATTTATAGGTTGTACAATATTTTGTTTTTCAAAGTGTCAAAAAATGTTTTTAAAAAAACATAAAAATAATGTTTTATTTATTATTTTTAGGTGACACTTCAAGCAGCAAATTATTGAATAACAACAACAATAATAAATTCACAAAGACTAAGAAAGTAAGATTTTATTTTATATTTTTATAAAATTGTTTTATTGTTATAGCATTTGTTTGCAATCAACAAGTGTAAAATAACGATATTATGTAAAATGTTAATTATTTTTATTTTCAGAATAAAGAGTTAAATAGTATTGAAGCATGGCCGTCTTTGGGCAACACTCAAAACACAGACGTATGTATATTTGTATAGGAAAATAATATTACATTTTATCTGCTATAAATATGTTATTTACATATGGTGTAATAAATCATTTGTTCCAAATAACTTTCATCCTTTTTTTTTTTTTACAAACTTGATTTTATTTTCAGAAAAAAAATACTATACAAAACGACTTACCTTTAAATAACGCCCAAATAAATGTACCCAAAGTATCTAATTCTGTGTCTGCAAAAGACGCACAAACGTCGACCAGAGAAATAACGCCTGGTAGAAAATCCTGTCAAAAATTGAATGGATTTCGAAAAAACGAAACCAGTAATTATTCTCAGACAACCAGTGAACAAGAAAATGGAACTAATTCCGGTCATTCGTCATCTAACGAATCTAATAATGTTGAGAAGAAAAAAAAAGGTATTTTTAATTTATGTGTCTTCAAGATAATCGTGGTATTCATTAATATAACATAATATATATAAATATATAAAATAGTATGTCGTAAAAAATTCTATTATGTATTAGTAAGTTTGAATGACGCAACTAAACTTGTAAATAAAATTTAAATGGACAGTTTTTCATCAAATAAACATTGATCACCTATAAAAAACAAAACTTTTTTGCACTCTACAAAATTATGTTAGTGTGTGGGATATCAAAATGTCTGTAATGTAAATCACTGCAAACCGTTAAGTTATTTTTCTAAAAAAGTTAATGGCTTCTACTTTTGATTTGCAGTAAAACATTCTAAATGGACGCCGTTAGACATAGAAATATCCAAGGAAAATAGTTATAGAAGTCGATTGTCAAAATACCGTAGGGATAGATCAGGTAAACCACATAATAAATTACTTTTATATTATATATTTTTGTATAAAATCGTATTATTATAAATACTTTAGGCGGATACGAAAAAAGTACGAATCAAATCAGAAATAAAAATAGTCGCAAAACGCCCGATACGTCAGATACGGCCGTTTCAGATTCTGATAAACGCGATGGAGGACCGATGCGCTATCTACGGCCCCAGCGGTTTCGTAATAGAACACATGATGATGAAGCGAAAGCTGGGTTCCAAAAAAGTTTAGCCGATGGAAAAAATGTAAAGTTTCTTCTTCTACTGTGTATTTTTTTTGCTCAATTTAAACATTGTTAATTTTTCTTAATGAGTAGCTATTTAAATTTTACTCTTGCCAGTAATATTAACTTAAGGGGACGTCGCGCCTCAAAATAATATCACCAAATAGTACTTTTGGATTTCCAATGGTTGGTATGAAGTCTACAATGCACGCAGAGATATAAATTATAAATTGTTTGAAAGATGAGAACTTAAACTATGCTTTGTTGAAATTAGATTTTAATTTTAAGATATATACATTTAAATAATTCAAAATATGCCCTTTCTTTATGCCATTACAGACCAACTATCGAAAATTAGTTTCCAACAAAACATAGAAAAAGTTCTCACCTACAACATTTATAATTGGGTTTTTAACTCTAAAACCAACCAGTAAGCTGTGTTTTTGGAATTAAAAAACTATGTTTAGATGAAAAAAATATTTAAAATCGATGACTATGATGCTGCGATTGTCCGAAAAATAAATTAACTGCTTAAAAAGAATTCTTATTACTAATCTAATAATTACAAATTACAATTTAAGTTTTAAATTGAGATTTTGCAATAAATTGCCCATACCCAACTCCTTAATAAATAGCGGTACGACGTCCCCTTAAGTTTTTATGTATATAGGGCATTCTGAGTCAAACCACTCATGGGTCATTGGCCCAGCCTCCTTAATTTTCTTCAAAGCGTTTTTTTGAAACTTATTTAAATTATTTTTCAAGAAACATTTGACTCTATATGAATATATATGTTAATTAATAGATCTTTGAACTTACTACGGTTGCATGCAAATTAACAAGTGTCACTAATCAATTAAGCTTTAAATAATATAATGACAATGCTCTGTATGCAAATCGTCGTGTTTCAAATTGGCAATGAAAACCAACATTTATACCGAAATGTTGTTTTTCGGCAATTAAAACTTTTCTATTTTAGCATGGTACATGCTTTAGCTTTGGATCCCCCCCCCCCCCATCCCGAAAATGACAGTAAATTTTGATACTAAAATAGTGCAATAACTAAACAACGAGATTATTGTTTATTTGGCCAGAACATATAATTAAGACTATAATTTCATCATGAATCGCAAGACGATTATAGATCAGAAATAATCACTATTCATGAGCCAGCAACCATGTTCCATGTTTTATCATTTTAGCTGTTAGGCTTAGAGTAGACTGTAACTTATCTGTACTATCCTAAAAACTAATTATTTCTTATTAAAAACTCCTCCATAATAGATGAGTGGCCAAGTAGTTAAGGCAATAGTGTGTTAGACGGTCATTGTCACCAGTTCGACACTCGGTCATGGATTTTCTTTTTGCCAGGCTAGAATTTGTCGAATAATTAAAGAGCCGCCATCTCCCTCTTCGACAACAAATTACCCTCGTTGTGGAGATAAAAAATTACAAAATAAAAATAGACCTCATTTTATTTATAATGTATTTTACCAAACAAATTAATCAATTTAACTAAGTTACGTGCAAGAAGACTACAATAAATTGGCTTTTTACCTTTTGAACAATTTTTTGCCCCTAACAATAGTTATGAAATATTTTTTTGTTTTTTACAGGTAAATTTTAATTATAAAGGAAGTGATGTGTTATATTCGGCTCCATCCCGTGTGAATTATAATCAACCTTATTGTGAACTAGTCCCGTTCATGACTTATCCAGTCATAAACGAACAAACTGTGATTAATCTCCTCAAACAACAGATGTGCGTGAAATTAAAAAAAAAAAAAATTAATAACTTGTGAATTGATATTTAATATAATAATAATGTTTTATGGTTTTGTTTTTTAGATCTTATTATTTTTCTACAGACAATCTATGTAAAGACACATTCTTCAGGTTTCATATGGACGATGATGGTTTCGTGCCTGTGACTTTTATTGCATCATTCAAACGCGTCCGAGAACTTAGTCAAGATGTTAGCCTCGTTTTGAAGGCCATGATCGACATGGAGGAATTAGAAATCAAAGGTCATATGGTAAGAATAATAGAAAATGGTTGTTTTTTGGTGGTCACAATGTCTTGACTAAATTTTTTTTGTCGATAGGTTCGAAGTCGAAACGATCCTACCAAATGGCCATTGAAAGAAATTCCACAACAGTTTTTGTTTAAAAACAACTTAAGTGCTCAACATCCGTTATTTGCTCATCCCATGGGACCCCCTTCCATAGTGCCATTAATATCGCCAGATTTAATGGTGAAAAATTTGCCGGCGCCACCTCCTATACCTAGCGTTCACGTTGTTCCGGATCCACTGACTATGAATTTAAATCCAGATGTGCCGGAATTTATTCCAAGAAGCGGGCCCACTGAATCAAAGACTGACGATAACTGTGATAGAAACGACTGTCAACAACAGCTCGCTTCCAATGACGACTCGAAAACTGTCGATAAATGTGTTGAGACTTCTGACTTATCCAATAACAATACTGCTGCAGATCAAGATTCTAGTTCTTGTAAGTTTACGGCATAAATATCGTTATCGAGTGCCTGTTTGCTTATTTATTGTTTTAATTATTGTCGATCAGGTAATAAGAAAAAGTTGGATCGTTCTAGTGAAAAAATTACCGATATCGAATGTTTAGATAATGGAAGTAGCAAAGACGATGACTTATGGAAAGAGGTAATTTGGGAAATTATTAAAGTAAATTTAAAGGATTCTTTTCGTTATTTAACACGTTTTAGGTGAAAAGGCGCTCGAAAACTAAAAACAATTCTATTATGGCATCAGAAGTGCCGTATACAACTGTAGCGACATCTACAAAACGTGACACTCATGCCGACAAACATACTTCTAGTTCTTGGGATCTCGGTTTTCAGTTTGACGAGGACCTCGCCGTAGTTCCATCAGGAAAGATAAACAAGTTTAACGACGATCCTTTAGGGTAAACCACCTTGTGTAATTAATAAAACTTAGTTGCTATTCTCATATACACTTGTATATTTTATCTTGTACAAAATACAATTTATCGTAAATTCAATTTGACAGTTCTGATAGCGAATCGGATTACGAAGACAAGGACGATTTTGATGACAAAGACCTTGACAAACTGATGATAATCACTCAAAAAGCGATTGGACGGCCACCAAAACAAGAAGATCGTTCCCATGACAAAACCACTCGTGTGAAAATGACGCAAGATCTTGAACACGCTATTGATCTAGGCTTAAGGTTATATGAAGAAGATTTGTGGCATTCTAACTCCCCGGTAAAATATTTGTTGACAACAACACCTTAAACAATACAACGAATGCCTCTTTCTTTGAAGTTAACCGTTTAATTATTATTGGTTTTTCAGAGTCAGTCTTCTTCGTACAAAACAGTAAACGTAGTCACTCATGAGGTATTTGAAAAGCTTGTGCAGAGAGCTCCTAAAAAAGTCAATCAAGTTCCTCCACCACCTCCGCCTTCATCGCTAAATATTAATAACTTAACTGAAATCGTAGAAAGTTCCGAACAAAAGGTAAATAATGATTGGTAAAAAACGCAAAACTCGTGTTTGCAATTAAAAGTTTTTAGGATTTTTTTTTGTTCACATCAATCGATTATTTAATTTTTAAAAAAAAAAAACACTGACGCATCTTGCAAACAAACTAAAAAACTATTTCTATTTTTGGAAACACACTTCATATTAACATCCACGTTAATTAATAAGTATAATAGTTCTTTTATTTAAAAAATGTGTTGTTTGTTTGTTTTTTTTTTTTTTTTTTAAGAAAAAACCTTTTTTTTAAGAGTTGATAAATTATACTTATCACAATCTTTCATTATACAATCATGAATTTTAAAGAACGCTTGTTTTTTAACAAATTTGTTTACCTATATATTTTTTTGTTTTATATATTTTAATAGAAAATTTGTGATAAGAAATATGTGAAAGAAACCAAAAAAAAAACAAAATAATAATTTTGCTTTTAACCTATCTTTTTGAAATTTAAAAAACGGAATTTTTTATTGTTTATTGTCGTGCTTCATTTTAATATATATGTGTGTGTGTAAATTTAGGAAAACAAAAACGAAACTCTAGGCAGCAAATCCAATACAGGAACTCAAACTGCTAAAGTCAAGTTTGAAGTTCATAAACCAAATCGCCGACATTTCTATGGAGATATCGATGAATCTTCAGGATATAGAAAACGAAGTCGTTTTAACACGGATAGCGAACATCATGTAGGTTGGGTGTTGGATTCTCGAGCACACACAAGACAGCGTACAACATCATTCAAGTACTTGAAAATTTGTTCTTTTTTTTAATATTATTTCTAATAGTTTAGAATGTACGTATAAAATTTAGATCAATCGTTTTGACCACTTGAAATAAAACATAATTATTTTCAATCATGTAGCTTAACAGGCCTTGAAGGCCCAATGTAAGATGGTTTCTAGACAAATTCTTTAACAGGTCGTCAGTACTTTGCCGGAGAGGAGAATGGTTGCTCCTTTTTACCAAACGATTTCTCATCCGGTAAACGGCGCACTCCTCCAAAAATCAATAACTAAAAATAAAAACCCCAATACCAGTAACTGGTACAATGCGGTGTCACACAACGATTATCAATGTAAATCTTATGAGGCTTCTTATCACTGTACCATTTACTGGTTAAAAGTATATTATAAATTGTAATTTATATTAAAATATTTTAGGATGGATAAATTAAAAAAAAAAAAATTCAAGGCACTAAGACTAGTCGCTTTAATGTACCGATTACCATTGTTTTCTTTCATAAACTATAGTCTTGTTTATATTTTACTCGTTATGTTAACAAGCTGATTGGGTTTATTATTGTTATTTATTTGTATTTAATTATGATTTTAAATGTGTATTGTTGATTTATTGATTTACACTATTTTGTTTACAGTAATAATGCGACATTAGGATCTAGCCCGAGTGAAGGCTATTTGTCTAGCACTCCACAATCTTTACCAACTTTCCATCACCCTTCTCATGCTTTGCTCATGGAAAACAACTTCACTCAACAAGCTTATCACAAATATCATTCGCGCTGCCTGAAAGGTAGGTGCCTTTATAGAGTATATTAATAAGAAAGTAATAAATAAACTAAATTCTCATTTGACTTTCATGTTACTAAGTTATAATATTATGTATATTAGCTACTAGTCTAGTGACCAAGGCTTTACTCGATAATCGGACAGTTTTTACAATAGACTTGTTGAGTCACACATGGTTATGATACATTAGCTTCTTTTTGTGGAAACTGGCCGATAGATCCCAAACTTTGAACTTTTTCCAAGTTGGAAAACGACAATGTTGTATAATATCATGTTTGTTAATTATATTTTCTGTAGAGAGATCAAGACTTGGACCTGGATTATCTCAAGAAATGAATACATTGTACAGATTCTGGTCGTTTTTCTTACGAGACAATTTTAATAAAAACATGTACAAAGAATTTCAGTCTATGGCCGTGGAAGACGCCATTAGCGGTTTTAGGTTTGTTAAATCAAAATAACAAGTCGCTAAAAAAATTGCAAAAAAAAAGAAAGTAAACATGTTTTCCAAAACTGTATGTTTTAGATACGGACTAGAATGTTTATTCCGATATTACAGTTACGGCCTTGAAAAAAAATTCCGGCCAGAATTGTATAAAGATTTTCAGGCGGAAACCATTAAAGACTATGAAAATGGTATAATTATTTTTAATTAGTACAATAAATAAAGGCGATTCTTTTTTTTTTTAATTCGGTTTTATGTTGTTATATAGGTCAACTCTATGGCCTGGAGAAATTTTGGGCTTTTCTGGAATACTACAAATACAGTAAAACGTTACAAGTAGACCCGAAACTAAAACAATACCTTAACAATTTCAAAACTCTCGAAGATTTTCGTAAAGCGGAAGAAGTAATACGTTGTGGAAAATGTTGGAAAAACATAAAACTAAATGAGGTTTTTTTTTTAGCAATTACCGAAAGGCGAAGGCTATTTGGACGCTTCCATGAGAAAAATGGCTCGTATGAAACGCCAAAGGAGTTATTCGGAAAACTCCACTTTGGACAGATTGAAAATGGCTTCAGATTCGGTTCCGAAAACTTCAGCCACTACTTCTAACGTTCCATCCGTTAGCAATGATACGAACTGGCGAAAAAATACAGCTACACCTAGAAGAAGATATTTGTCTGTCGGTGAGTAATTACAAATTAATAACAGTCGCTTTGTATAATTAGTGTATATAACAAAATCATTTAAAAAAAAAAAAAAATACAGGCGACAAAACGGGAGACTTAAAGTCTGCTAAAAATCAATCTAAGGTTATGTTTGAATTGAAAAATTCAAAAGAATCGTCAACCATACAAGAAAGCTCAGAATCGCCGAAAAAATGCAATTCCATCGAAACTTGTTGAGTATATACATATATATATATATATTTAATTATTTAGTTAAAAATTAAAAAAAAAAAAAAAAAAAATATATAATTAGAAACCTTGTTAAACCAAATTTGATTATTACTATAAACACATTTTTCTGTTGTTTTTTTTTTTTGTAACAAGATTTTTTTAAAGTCTAGATTAACACATCTATTGAGACAAAGGACACATAGGTCTATATTATTTTATTAAAATTCTTTGTATACTTTTTATATATATATTTTCAAAATGTTCAGATTAATCTGTTGAAATATCAACTCGGAAATATATTGACACGCTAACTTAAAAAAAAAAAAAGAAGCTATTTCATATTTTATATATATATATATAATATATAATTAAAATCAGGAAAAATTTTAAAAGACTGAATATTATTAATTTCGCTATTTTGTCTTGATACATATTTTTTCTACTGCTTTGTCCCATCAGCTGTGAAAGTATTGTATACCAATTCTAACTTATTCTTTTTGAAAAACCCTAGTCAACGCGGCTTAGTAAATTTTAATAGCATTTTATGTAGAAGATTTCTGAAATTGTCTGTGTAAGACCGAAACTATAATTTTATAATTTCTTAAATGAAAAAAACTATTTATAAAAAAATAATAATAGCATTTACTCAAAAAAAAAAAAAAATTGAAATTTCATTATTATTACTATTATTAACATCAACAACAAAAAAACAGTACATAAGAGTGTTTTCGATTTTTATTGTTAATATATATATATTTTTTTTTTTTTAACGTTTAGGTTTTAATCGCCATGTAATTTTTTGAAAACATTTATTCGCTAGTGTAGTCTTAGTCGTGGGGTCGGGGCTCTACATATCTCGTATATTTATTTTTTATCGTTCCAACATTTGGATTATATGTACATAATCAATCTAACAGTTTGCCATAAAAATAATATATATTAATAAAATGTTTGTATTTTATTACTAATATTAAAGTCGTCATTGCTTGTTTGTTCGAGCGTGACAAGACTCTTATCACAGGGTTTTATAGTCTTTTTATATATTTAAATAGATCGATTCGTATGCATGTGTGTACATATAATCGATTTTGAAAGCTTGCAATATAAAATATATTATAATAAAACCAGAACAATTGATTACCTCAACGCTGTTTTGCTATAATATATAAATATATTATATATATACACTTTTTTTTTTCTTAACCAGTTATGGTCATAAACATTTACGATGAAATTGTTGTTAAGTAGTTGTTGTAGTTGTTTATTCATTAAAAATTATTATTTGTATTCATATTAACCAACTATTTATATATATATATATTATATTATATATTTTTTCTCTCTTAACGTCATAAAGGCAGTCTGTCATTGAGTGAAAAAAAAAACATGTATCCGAAAGCAAATTTGATATTATTGTGTTCAGTGTACTTTTTCGTACTAATATTAGTATATAATTTAAAAACAAAATTTGGTAAATCCAACCGATGTTGTTTATTTTTCCAATTACATAATATATTATTTTTATTATATTATTTTTTAATTGTACGTAAGTTAAATGTATTGTATTTTTCAATTTATATAATAAGCAATTTGAACGGTTACTCCGTAGTCGCTTTTTTCAATGGTTTAGTATGGCAGTACCCGTTGAGTCCAAATTTGTTTATACTGACTTCTCTTTATATAAAAAAAAAAAATTAGTTCTTTCAGTTCTTGTTATTTTTTTTTTTCTTTCAAAAATGGCACCGTCGTTATATTTTGAGTGATTTACATTGTGTACAATATTTTTAATAATTTCAAGTCGAACGTCATCTTACGTTTTTAATATACTTCAGGTGATCATATGTTCTAAGTATAATATTTATTTTTTAAGTGTTTAAGTTTGTTAAATGCTACTTTGCTGATATAGTTTGGTAATATCATTATTTTTATATTATATATAAATATAATACACAGTAGTAGTATATACTATACATAATTATTATTATTATTATTATGTTCAACTACATAATATATTGTTCTTAATTTTTGTTTGTGTAAAATAGTAATCGTAATCTTATAAAACGCATTGTGTATGTTTATTTTTCCTATGCCTTTCGATTAAGTTGAGCATCGTCGTCAGCGATGGTATTTTATTCTTTTCAAGTACTTTTTATCGCGGTGTATTAAAAATAACAATTTATAATATAATTGTTTTACATTTTTCTTTTGTTATTAATTTATTAATAGTAATCACTTAAATACGATCTAGTATTGTCGATTGGAGATTTCACAATGAAAATAATATTCCACAAACAAATACGAGGAGTCGGTTACTACAAAAACATTTATTAAATTGAGTGAACGATTTCTATTGAAATTAACAGTTAAATAATATATTTCTCATATTGAAAAAATTAAGCACACAATACTACCTATTTACAATGAAAAATTAATAAACAACATTCAAACGTTTAATCTCAAAATTAAAATGAAGGTTCCAGTGTGGCCCTATAACATTGAAATAAGTCATAAGATTTTTAAAAAAAAATGTATGGAAAAATAATCTAAAATCTAACAAAAATTTAGTTTTAATATTGAAAAAAAATGTTAGCTTAATCACAATAAACTGAATTATTTAAAACGGTTTAGCCGTCCTACGTTAAAAACAATACACTGAAGAAGCTTATACAAAAATTAACAGGAAAATAAACTGACATAGTGACATGGTCGAAATTTATTAAAACTACGTCTTTCCTTAAGGAACAAATTAATATTAAATTAAATATTGCCCTTATAATAAAACTCTTTAAAAACCGCCAGCTTCAATTCTCTTAAAATAATTCCCAACGCTTGTTACGCTCTCCGGCCCCGATTCTTTGAACGGTTTAGATTTTTGTTAATTTTTAAAAAATATTAATAGGTACCTACTAGATTTTTGCTTTTAATTAAAACATTGTTAAGCGTAGGTATGAATGATAGATAGAAGGTGGTGCGGTAAATTAATAGCAGTCTTCTTGCAGCAACCCATAATATATTGTATTAGGTATATTTAAATTATCTCGAGCAATGAAACGATCCGGAGAAAAGTTAAAATACCGGAAGCATAATATGATTTATTGCCAAGATCTAATTGAGAATATCCAATAACGGGTTCCGGCAAAATTCATCAAACCTACCGCTGTAGTTCGACAGCAGTGACACCTTAATTCGATTCCTGTAATAATAATTAATACGGAAAACGAGTAGTGAATGTAATATTTTATTCGACAGTTACACGCTCCATAGCAAAAAATTACTGACACTACAAATAATAGCTAATTATCATTAGAATATTAAAAATACTACGTGTTATAATAACCGTTAAAATGTGTTGCTTAGTGGGTTAAGTACTCTCCTAATTATTATTATTATTGAGGAGATGACAACGCCAAAACAACATCATGTTTTACAGTTAAAACAATTTGCTCCTCCTTCGTAGTGTCCCTATAATAGTATAATGGACAGCATCATCTTGTGTTTTGGCCAATAAGTCATTAACACGGCCATACATCACATTATCACAGTTATATATATTTAAGGTGGTTAGACACCTGACACTTGTGACCAGTAGGAACCGTTAAAATAGGTGTTAAATACTTAAATGTGTCAAATTTGTTATTGTTATTGTCATCGGTTCGTTAGGTTTTTGCTGGTGGGCTGTGGTCCATCATTTAGTAAATTAAACTGAAATTTAAAGCTTGTCCTTTCTGGCCAATCTACTCCAACTCTCTCTTCAATATCTTTATCATTACCGACACTATTTGGACGCTTTTTCCATAAATAAACCAACAAAAGTTATGTAAATATCAATTTTTTAATATAAAAAAAAAAAACCATACATTTTTATGCTTTAGAATAATATAATATAATATACAGAAAATGTTTTTCTTTTCTAATATTTGTTTGTACACATTCTAAACTTGTGTTCGGTTATGAGAAAACGTAGACCGCATATTTTCATACTTTTATTTCAATATAAAAAAATTGTATTAATATCTCATATCTGTATAATTATAACTGTCTCTTATAATTTATAACATTACAAGGTTTTTGAAAGGTGAACCGAAGTAAACATTTTTTTTAGCACGTGGTTAATTTTTTTATAACGTTTTTTATACATATAATCGCTTCTCAAAACTAAGTTTATGACTATTAATAAAATAATTAACTGTATATAATAATCCGTATTTTTTTTTCTCGCTAGTTTATGACTATTTTTGACGGAGATGAATTCTTATCAATTATTCAGCCCAATAAAATAGGTACAAAAAAATTACACATTTATGAAATACGAGTATACACACGCTTTATATAATCGCTGGGTTTATCCAAATATTTTTTTTTTTAGTTGGAAAATATGTTTTTTCATAACGTGACCGGTAAAAAAAAATTGTTGTGGGCATCTAGTTGGAACACGAGTGAAATCAGTGTGTTTTTATTTACATACTATAACGTGTTTGAATTATCGGTGTGTGACACATAGCATAAAACAAAAATGTAAAATATATGAATTGATGTGCCTATTCGGGTGTATACGCGCTATTTCGCGATTCTCCCATGATCCAATTAATACTTTGCTCGGCTCACTGAAGACCTGAAGCATCATGATATGCTTCAGGTGTTCGGCCAAGTAAAACAAAAAAAATACAATACTTTTGATAAGAAAAATCTAATTTGGTCGTTTTATACGCTCAACGCTCAAATAAATAAAAAACCAGTACAGTGGGGCCGGAGAGGTCACAGGTCTACAGATTTTATTATAACTGAAAGTGATATCACTTTTAAATAAACGCTTCGATGCGAATCTGTGGACAGTATGTTCAAACCGCAGTTATAGCGGTTTAGAAGATATCGTGGGACCAGCAATGATGTACTTAAAATTTAATATTTAGTCTTGTGCAGGGTGTATACGATAAAGGATTGATCGTCTGTCTATACCAATGTAATGCCATAGTTACCCATGTATCGTAATTAACAATATAATGAAAATATTTTCATTACCTGTTGACTATTGATTCACACACATACATATCAACCTAGAAACTGACTACGGCCAAAGTGTAAGTTTACCCTTTTTTTGGGGGGTTTTTCCTTAATAAAAAAAAAAATTTGACTACGGATTTTTGAGAAAATTGTATATGTTATATTTATATTTTAGATCTACCTTCGGTCTAATTTTTAGATCTAAATCTCTAATACTTTGCTTGAAAAAGTGAAATAAAGAAAAAACTTCTATCCCTTCTAGAGGAAAGGGTTTATAATATTTTTTTTGGCTTGTTAATGTTTAACGATATTACTATGTTTGAAGAATAATACGTATAAATTAGGAACATTTTCGACTATTTTTAAAAAAGTTATAGAGCATCGTAATTTTAAGTTGAAAAATTTGTACATTTTTTGGGTGTTTTTCTCGATTATGATGGGGAAGGGGTGACTTTTTTAAAATGTTTGCCCATTAAAGTAACTTTCAGGTATGATTTCTGATCTATAGAGTTGCAGACACAAAAATAAAAACACATCATTGTAAAAACAATACCTTCTCAGCTCCGCACCGAAGCTAAAAATCATATTTAACACGTTTTTTACTGAGATCTCGCGGTGTAATAGGTGTGGAAAATATATCACTGTTGATTTTGTATTATTTTATTTGTCAAATACACTATATCTATCCGTATAAAATATTTGGTTCATTGCAAAATATACAGTGAAAAGGTGTCTGATTTGTGACCAATATTTAAACCATTATTTTTAAAAATAAAAAACGTTTACCGAAAAAGAAACGCTTTTTGCGATATGTATTTTTAAAAATAACATGCATTTTCATTATACACTTTAGATTGTTTATCAGATGATTAACAATATAAATTTGACACTATTCTTTGCTATTAATACGCGGTGAAAAGGATTTATAATAAAACCAGCGGCCATATTCAGTCTGTATAATGTGCAACAGTAACATAATAACTATGTAGAACAATAACGATAGATTGACCGAATTTCCATACACATGCCCTCACAAGATTTATATTGTATTATTATAATATTTATAACTACCTATACAGAACCTATACTCTAGTTCTTTTTACTAAAATATCATATATACACAGCTTCCGGGTGCTGGTAAACTACAATAACCGATTTCGTGGAGTATTATTGAATATACTAGTCGACATTATTGTATTGATGTATATTATAAAGATAACCTTAAGCACTTCTACACTCGTGTTGAGTACATAATAATTTGTAGTAAGTTAAAAATGGATAAAACATTCAAAAAGCTCATTTTCCAGAAGTTACAAAGAGTCAGATTGGATCTTTTAAAGGTGTAGACTGTAGAGTATTGTACAAAATACAATTAATTTTTATATGTATATTGTAACTATATTATAGTATAAACATTATACTAAATATTTTCGATAGAGCTAATAAACATGTGGCTTTTTTGCTTTTATTGTGTATAATATATGTTATTATGTTTTAATCGTTTTACAATTTGTGATACTTCATTGTTTGTTTTATGGAAAGCGAGGAAAATAGAGTACAGTTTCTTAAACGATATACAAAAAAATAATAATATACATTTAGGGTAGTTTAGTTTTCTTTTTCATATTGTGTCTGACGCAAGACACATTATTGTGATAGTATTTTCATAATAAACATCATGATTGTGTTATCCAATTGTATTAAATTCGTTTCGAACCATGAACGACATAATTAACTGTATAAAAAAAAAACGATTGTTCTATTGACATTTTTTTTTTAAACGATGTCAATAATTACGCTTATATACAACAAGTATTAAGTAGTGGAGAATATTGTTTTTTTTTAAACCGACCATTACGGTCGGTTTAAAAAAAAAATAAAAAAAAATCTATTACAGATTGATTCTATGTCGATACAAATTTAGCAAAAAAAATCTTAAGTGTTACATAAAATATAAATAATGAGTAGTCTTGTCTGGATTGTTAACGTTACGGGTAAATAAATATCTGTGTCGCTCTTTAGTACATTTCAAAATGTATTTATTTATAAAAAACTTAAATGTTTCTCTTAAAATAATTGGTGAAAAATCGAAATCTTTTTCGAATAATCCACGCATATAAAAATAATTCTAAATACTGTTTAATATTGGAAAATTACAAAATTGCAATTATTTCAAGAGGAAATATGAATGTCTCTTATC